AGGAAAGAGTTAAAATATTTCTCAACATGAGAGGATAATTGCTCCACAATCCAAGCATGCAATTTTATAAACTAAATTTGGAGACTTTCAAAAAATATTGATCGCACCTGAAAACATTTAATGAATGCAATTTGGAAACAAGGGCCCAGAGACACTAATTTGTATCAACAGTGCTTAAATAGTCCCATAAAAAACACACCCAGGGCCTTGGGAAATCTGGATCACTATAATGTGCTTTCAAAGGAAGGTTTGAAATTTTTAGATGAACAGCTATAATTATAAATTGAAATTAAATATAATGCAAAAGAGGCCATGATTTCCCTTGCTGTCAAAATAAATCTAAGGAATACATTGTGTCCACCGACTATCAGACAAGGGCATGCACTTACTCCCTGTATAAACCACTTTCAGCTTTGGGTAGCGGAGTGTTTTTACTTCTGTATCCAAATGCTAATAGATATGTTTTTTCCATCTAACTCAGATTTAAAATCTAAACATTTCCACTGATCTGCAAGGCTCCCGGTTACCTTGCTGGTGTTAACCTGTTACTCTCCCACTCCCTCATTCCACCCCAGTCAGAGCACCTTGCTCTTCCTGAAACGCAACACGGATGTTCCTTCCTCAAGGCTTTTGCACCTGCTACTCCTTCTGCCTGGAAAGTTCTGTGTCCAGATATCTATCTGCACCACTGACTCCCTCATTTCCTTTAGGTCCCTCATTCCTAGGAAGGTTTCCCTGATCACACTACATAAAATAGCACCTGCTCTCAATATACTCTTGCCCTTTATTCTGCATTAGTTCTCTGTATAGCTCTTATCACTCAACAGTCCACGTTACTTGTTTATCATTGCCTTTCTCCACTAAAATCCAAATGCTATGAAACCACAGGCTGTCACTCATGTAGAACCAGGGAGTGGAACAGTGCCTGGTTCAGAGTAGGTGCTTAACAAATACGTTAAATGAATGATGTTTATTTGAAGTATTTATTAGGTTTTTAGTCAGATGGGCAAGCTAGAGGTCTTCTATCAATTCACCAACCACGTACTATGTGGCAGGTACTGTTCTCTACCTTTCATGAGACAAAAGACCACCCTTGGGTAAACAAAGCAGTGGGAGTCAGACAAGTCAGTTGATAATTATTGTCAATTATACAATAAGGCTGGGGGAAAAAAAACCAGGTAACTGTAATCCATCTGTTCATTCAACATATATTTACTGAGTACTCAGTGGAAGAGAGCTAAGTTTCTTTGCAGGCTTTTTATGTGCCAATAGTGTGCAAAGGCATAGAAAGATGCATCTAATATATTTTTTAGAACAACCAGTAAGGTAACTATTATCCCTGGTTTAGAACCATGAAACTTGAAGCTTACAAAGGCCCAAGGTTGCCACACTAGTGAAAAGGAAGACTAGACCAGGTCTAGGTCTAACTCTGATTAGTTATTCTGCTAAAGGAACTCAGAGAAAAACCATCTAACCTATTAGTGGGGTCAGAACAGCCTTGAAAGCAGAAGTAACACCTAAGGTAAACCTTCAAAGTAATGGGTTAGAATTGGGCAAGAGTGGAGGGTAAGGCATGCTGAGCTGGATGGACAGCATGACATTGTACCTTCCATAAAGAAGGAAACTTCTGGGCCTTTGTTTTCATTAATAAAGTAGGTTAAATTTTGGCTCTCTGAATTATTGAAATAGAATAAAAAATACTTCTAAAACTAATGAGGTAATGTATGGGGATTAACATAAGAATAAAAAAAAAGAATAAAAAATACAAACACACACATACATACCCCATTATAAACAATAGCAAAATCAATTAAATATGTGATATAACTCAATCATGCAATGCAACTAATCAGCATGAAGAAATAAACAAACACAAGATTGAGGGAGATCTAGTATTCCAGATTTTAACAAAAGAGATGTGATTGCCTATAAACAACATTTTCCATTTATAGCATATAATTAAATAACTTACGTGGCAATTAAATTACATGCCAATTAAATAGAATTGCAAGCTTTAATAAAACAAGTTAAAGACAAGTGGAAGTTATTACTGAAGCACATCAATCGCTTTTTTCCTACTAAGTTGAATTGACATTTAAAAATTAATACTTACCTGTGTTATGCACTTTCTATATTTAGAACATAAGTTTAAGAATTAGGCTGTTAAAGGTTTTCAAGCTAAAATTAAATAAGGTTTAGAAGTTTGGATGCTTGTTTCATTCAAATAAAATAATAAAGGAAAACAAATCTTTTAATTGATAGGTTTTACTTTTATTTTCTTTAAAATTCCATGATTTTTTCCTCTTAACCATCCAAAGTGAGATTTTCTTTGAAGCAAGATGGCAGGTACCCAGAGCTGAGCTTTGACGGTATATAAAGCCAATTTTTTTGTACTTGATCCAAATGTTAAATCTGCAATTTACAGTTAATGTACCAATATGTTTACATATCTCTGTGGGTTCTTCTGCAATACAGTTTAAACTTCAAATTAAATATATATACATAATATACATTATATGTGTGTGTGTGTGTTAATACTTGGGATACAGCATTATTTGTAATAATACTTGGTAAACAAGTATTATTTCTGGGAGATGTGCTTCCTCCTTGTTTGTGGTTGCCCAGGGTTATGTTGCATAACTGGGACTTCATATGCTTCAAAGAGTTTAGATAAACACTGGCCAGGATTACTGGGAGTTAAATATATACACACACACAGACACACATATGTGTATATATATATATGTAATATCAAGGTATGGCAAAGCAGGCACATAGAGCACTTGAACCTCCTTTGTACCTGTCTGGAGAAACAATATAAATAGTATACTAAACCTGACTAAGGCTATTACAGTCAGGTTGTTTGAAGGACCATTTTCCCCTCCTCCTGTCTTTTTTCCCCACTTTCCGATGTACTCAAGAAAATTGAAAAATTGTAATGGGTCAATTTAAAATATTTTATTTTCTAAAAGCCTTTTTTGCCTGTTGTAAGGTGCACAACCCTTCTCCTTTGATAGGAGAGTTATCTAAATCTAGTTTAAAAAGTTTATGTAAAAAGAAATTGTAATGAAAGGGATACTCTGCTTTCCAAGTCCTTGTCTTCTCTTCATCTAGATAAGGTATATCCAAAACAGATATGTAAAGAAAAAAAATAAAAGTTGTCTTTATGGGAAAAATAAAAGTTTAAAAATACATAATCATAATAAATACAAATGGCACTATAAATAGAACCTGATATAGCAGAGTTTACAGGTGGGAAAACCTAACCCACCATTATAATCCTTCACTCCTCAAACACTTGAATGCCTGTCCTCTACAGCAGTGTGTTAGATTTTAATTCCTCACCTCAAGAAGCTTAAATTCTATTTAGGCAAAAAAGTTCAATCAAATGATGAAAATATTCACTCCTCCTGATTAGCAACTGCTTATCATACTAAGCTTCAGCCATTCCACGTTCCTTCGCATCATGTGGTTTATAGCAATTTGCTTTCATTAACGGTTTGAGTGACATCTGATTCATAGCTACTCCCACATTCTACCTACCTTCTAGAGGGAAAAATGACTTGCTCATCTTCCAATTACTTCACACGGGGATATATAAAGATCATCTTATAATTAATCAAACGCTTAATTTCTGAATGTATCTGGAGAAAGGGTAATAAATGGGACATAAATGGCATGAAGGAGTACAGGCAGAAAGTTCTGGGTTTGAAGGGCAAACGAGAGGAGAAGGCTCGGCAGCACATGCTACATTTGACTGGCTCGATTCCATAAGGTTGGAAACTGGAGGTTGATTACAGGTTTGATGCAGGGTTAGGTTTCGTTGAGTGGTTCTGTACGAGGATGGTGGTTCTCACTAGTTGAGGGTATTCCAGTGACCACGTAGGCCTGGTGCAATGTGAGGGCTGGTTCAGGCTAATGGACTGAAGAGCAACGAGGGATGAGATGAACCGAAGGACTGAATGCAAAGAGCAGGTATAATCAGAATGTTAAAAAAAAAAGGACTTTAAACTACCTCTGCTCTGAAGCGATTTCTTCACTCTCTGCTCACTTCAGAAAGGTGTGTTAACTTAAATTTTTCCCAGTCCTCAACATTTGAGGGGCTGGGAGGAAAGCAAAGGAAGTCACAGTAATAGTAATAACAGAAATTCTATTATTTCAGTGAGTCCAATGTCTGGTCTAGGGCAATCAGCTCCCTGAAAACTCTTCCCCAAGTATTTCTGGGGACCCAAAGCTGTCTAGACCGTGGTTCTTTCCCTGGTCCTGCAGCTGCTGCTTTTCTTCCACGCACCCCTGTCCCCCAGTCAGCCTCTGACGGACCTCTAGCAAAAACGGGCACAGAGCTAGGACCCACTGGTTGCAAATTCCCCACTCCTTGGTAAAACCACAGTGTTTGGAATTTTTACTTTACCAATGCATTCCGAATACATATTCATGCAGAAGTTAAGGTACATTCCACAAATCAGTGCATAATAAATATTTATTAACTTAGTCAATAAATGTTTGCTAAGTTCCTTCCACCAGTGAGGCACAGAAGACGGGTTTAGGAAATGAAAGAGTCCCTTCACTCAAGAAATATACACCACTCTAGTCAGGAAAGCAGGCAGATAAATAGTAAATTGCAATGGTGCAAGATGTGCTTTTTTTTTGCTTCTATGTTTGTGTGGTGTGTGTGTGTGTGTGTGTGTGTGTGTGTACCCATCTTCTTCTAAAAAGAATTTAATATCCTAGGCAGGGTGGCAAGCGTTCAGATTTATTCTAGGAGCAGAGAGGAAGGGTGCCTGAACTCTGATTAGGGGTGGTCAAGGAAGATTTTTCTCTGGGAGGAAATTCCATGTGCTGCTGTCATATCTTTGAGACTCACAAGGCCCTAAAGGCTTAGCTGTGAGCTCCCTACTCTTGGCAGATATGCCCCCCACCTGGTGGGAAAGGCCCCCCACCCCTGGGGTTTGCTAGCTGCAAACCATTCTGTCCTCAACTTAATCCCACACATTAAGGGATTTTAATCAGACATTTCACAGAGATCACTCTGGTACTGTGTGGCCAATGGATTCAAAGTAGGGCAAGAATAAAGAGCGAGCAGCCAGTGAGAATGCCAGGATGGAGAGCCAAGCCGGAAGTAATGAGGGCTGAGACCCAGGCACGGACACTGAGTCAGGTTCTGTGGTACAAAGATGAGATGCCATTCAAGTCAGTGGCCGACAGGATGCAGTACTGGGGATAAGGGAGAGGGAAGAACTGAAAATGGCTGCTGGACTTGGGTAGCCAGGTGCAAGCTGTCGTCATTCACGGAGCTAGGGAAGAATTCAATTCTGGACATACTGATTCTCAGAAGTTTGTGGAACAATATCCAAGCACTGTCCAGTGGATGGTCCCTACATGGGCCTTAGAACAGGCCTGAGATAAAGGTTTGAGTGTACAAAGGATATACTGATGTCTGGGGTCTGATACCAGTCAAGAGTAATGTATAGAGAAAAAAATCCAAAAGTAAAGCATGCCAACATTTAAAAGGTGAGTGGAAGAAGAGATGTCTACATAGGAAACTAAGAAGGGGGCAGGGGTATCAGGACAATGTTGTTCTAGAAGTCAGGATAGGAAAGAATTTGAGGTGTTTCTATGTGTAGGGACATGATGAAGCTACAGGATTCAGGGAATACTTGATAGAGCAAAGTTCATGAAGAGGCCAGAGCAAAGCGATCCAGGGAAAAGATAAATTAATGCTTAATAAGCAGGATGGTCATCACTTCCAATGAAATAGCAGATGAAGACAAAAGGATGCAAATAAATGTGTAAGTATAAATAGCTTAGTGTTTTCTTCATGGTGAAATAAAAATTCCAGATAAATTGCCTACCACCGGGTGGAACAAAACTGGAAAACAGTGCTCTTCATTTAGATAACCAGTGGGCTGACGATAAAGAGGCGAAGAATTCTAGCAACTTAAGAGTTTTCGTTTATGTGGAAATGTAGTTTGATAGACATAAAAAAAAGGAACATAATCTGAGAAGCACTTAGAAGCTATAGTGATAAGTCTATAAACAAGACTATGTGAAACCAGCTAATAAACTCAAACCTACTTTAGGATAAAAGAAACTGCAAGATATGTAAAAACCCAAATTACATGGATAAACTGTGAAACAGAATTACAGTGTTAATTCCTAAGCAAAATAATATTTCACCAAATAAAACATGGGTATAATTTTGTTAAAATGCATTTGTCACACCTACTAACAGTGCTTTGATTACAAGTGATGCTTACAATTGGATTTCAGATGTGATGCTGCAATCAAAATAAACATCCAAGACAAACTGATAAGCCCAAGTTCATCTTGGGTTTTTTATTAACCATAAGTTAAATCTTGGAGTTCATTACTAGAAATGTACATACAGAGTTTTCCCAATATCAGATAGTTCCCATCATCTGAAGAATACTTTATCCCTTTAAAACAAAGGAGTATTTTCTGAGGACAATTTAATATTTCAAAAGCAAGAATAAAGTAAATAAATCATTACGATCCACTTAGTACAAATTGAATACATACACTGCCATAATTTTTTACAGAGCATGTTGTAAGAATAAATCATAAATTACCAACACAGGTAAAAACTAGTTCTGAATATGCAGACATACAATTACAGAAGATTCAAGATAAGATAGATAGATATATATATATATACTCTGAAACTTAGTAAGTCATTTATTTTGATTTTTGATATTAAACTCTTTAGATATTAATATTTATTATTTGAAGGAAGCATTTCTTTTAAATAATATTTTGCTGCTGATTTCCTAGAAAAAACTTTTGTAAAAAATACTTGAAAATGTTGAAAAACTAAAAGTGTTGGGGGGGAAATCTTTATAACTCTACTACTAAATCAAAACCTCTTGATTTAACAGGCATCTCTTGAAATACATAGGTAAACACAATGAAATAGAAGTAGAATTACACATATTTTGTATCTGCCTTTTAAACTTAATATTCTTAATACTGTGCCCTGAACATCTTCCCATGTTAGTAGCTATATATCTACATGATATTCTAATAGCTACATCCTATTGCGCTGTACAAATATATCAGCTTTTTAATCACTTGATGAAAATCTGGGTTATTTCCAAATATTTTACTATGATTAGCTAGGCTGCAGGGAAAGCAATCTTGACATATGCCTCTACAGACATGTCCATCTCATTAGGATAAATTTCTGTAGTGGAATTAATGGGTCAAAGGGGAATCCACATTTTAAACTTAAAGACATTGTCTATCTGCTCTCCAGAAGAGAAGGAAGTGTATACTTTTTTTTTTTTTTAAGATTTTATTTATTTGACAGAGAGAGATACAGCGAGAGGAGGAACACAAGCAGGGGGAGTGGGAGAGGGAGAGCAGGCTTCCCGCAGAGCAAGGAGCCCGATGCGGGGCTCGATCCCAGGACCCCGGGACCATGACCTGAGCCGAAGGCAGACGCTTAACGACTGAGCCACCCAGGCGCCCCAGGAAGTGTGTACTTCTATCAATAGTCCATGAGTGCCCATTTCTTGTATTACTAATAAGCATGAACAACCCTTTCCCTAAGTTTGCTGGCTGTATGCATCTTTTCTTACATGGATTATCCACTCATTTCCATGTCTCTTGTGGGGTGTTCATCATTTACTAATTAATTTGAAGAATTCTTTTTTTTTTTAAGATTATTAATCTTTATCTGTTACTACAGATCTTTTTCTACTTTTTCTATTTTGCTCTTTCATAGTTTGAGCTTCTGAGTAATGACATAAGGGGCTGTTCGCCTCTCAAGATTATAAAAAAATATTCTACCATGTTTTTGTTTTATATAATTTTATTATATTTAAAATTTTGAACCATCTCAAAGTCTATTGATGTTATATGTGAAGTAAGATTCTAGCTTTATTTTTTTTCCCAAATGGGTAGCCAGATCTCTTAATAAATAACTTTTTTCCCCACTTAAAAGCCATCCTTATCACCCCAAAAGTGAGAAACATTTCTAGACTCTCTTTTGTTCCACTGATCTTGGACTAATATTTTAGTCACTCTGCCTTGGAAAAAAATTTTTGTATCTTCTGAGACTCATTCTAACCTTTTTTTCCCCTCCCCTTTCTGAATTGTCTGGCTACTTGCCCATTTTTTCCACAAAAAAGGCTTTAGAAACATTTTTTTTCAAGTTTCTAAAAAGTCCTATTGAGATTTTTGTATGAATTACTTTGAATTTCCAGAGTATGAGGGAAAAATCTGTACATGAACCTGACCAAGAAATCTTTTGAGTATTCCATTTTGTCCCCCAAGAGTTTCGCAGTTCTCTTTTTAAGGGTCCTGTACGTTTCTTGTAAGTTGGGTCACTTATATTTCACTGCTTTTTAAATTGGTATTAGTAGTACTTTCTAAACTCATTAGTCTTTCCATTTGTTCTCTTACATTCTCCAGGTCTTGAATAACATAACTGCAAGTAATGATTCTTCTGTATGCTCCCTTCCAATATCTGTGTGACTTTTAAAAATTTTAAAGGATATGTCTTATTACTAGCAGTTTTCATTAATTTTGCATAGACCTAATGAAAACTGTCAGTAAATAAACTTAGCTCTTTGGGTTAGTTCAGGAAAGTTTTCTTTTTTTTAAGATTTTATTTATTCACCTGACAGAGACAGAGACAGCGAGAGTAGGAACACAAGCAGCAGGAGTGGGAGAGGGAGAGCAGGCTTCTCTTGGAGCAGGGAGCCCGATGTGGGACTCGATCCCAGGACCCTGGGATCATGACCCGAGCTGAAGACAGCCGCCCAACGACTGAGCCACCCAGGCGCCCAGGAAAGTTTTCTTTAATTATCACTTCTTTCATTTTTCTGTTTTCTTTGGGCTGGCACACACAAAATTCAAAAATCGTATTTTTCTTTCTTTTGTTTGCTATATCTTAATTTTTTCTCATCTTTTTTTTTTTTTGAGTGATCAAATTTACCCATATGACCTATGAAGTTTTCAGTAGTGTCAATTATGCTGATTAGTTCCTCTTATGGGAATTTACTTTTGGAGTTTCCTTTTATTTTTTTTTCATATTTCAGGATGCACCTTTTCATTCCTTCTCTTTATCTCAATCTATTCCTTCTTTATGGCTAATAAAAATGAAAGTAATTATTTAAACACTTCTTTGTGCAAGCCAGAGCACTAAGCACTTCAGACTTTAACTTGCTTACTTCCTACAATCGCTGAGGTAGATATCACTACCATGTAATGTGTGAGGAAACTGAAACTCTGGATGACTAGGTGATTTGCCCAGCACTCTACAGCTGGTCAGTAGGAGAGCCAGGATTTAAACCCAGGCCTTCTGCCTCCATAACCCATGCTTTTAACAACCCTGCGAGATTTCCACATGCCCTTGGGCCTCCTCCCTGTTCACAGGGCAGTTTAGTTCCTTTTAGATCTATATCTTGAATGAGGTGGCCTCCTAAGTACCTGTGTCAATTCCAGTGCCTGCTGGACTAAGGCAGGAGCATCTTCTGCTCCAATTCTTAGATACTCTGTGTAGATAATTGCTACAGTCAGACAAATGTTCTTTGAACAAGTGTTATACACTCTCAGCATTTGCTACAATCTAGGGATCCTCCACCCTCCATCCATTTGCAAGACTTCTTTGTGGTGACTGTATATCCAGGGGTGCAAAGTGCCCCTCACTCCTCAATCCACAGTTGTACCAAAAATGAAATCTGTAGTTTCTATCATGCAGGTGAAAGAAAGGGGCTGAGGAATACTGCAGGGGTGGGCACAGATCTCAATTCTAGCTAGCTCAGATGATGGCTGGGCAACAAGGATTTGATTTTCAAGGTGGTGTAGCTCCTGTGTCCTGAGTTAGTGACTGAGTTGGGGCTTTTTCTTAACTTCTCTCCAGCTAATTTGGATCCATGAATCAAATGATGGGCACTGGAGTTAATATAAATTCCCAGTGGATTTTGGCACAGGGTTTCCTCTTTAGTTTGTAGTACTATTACAATCTTTGAAGGTATTTTTGCATGAAGCTGGGAAAGGGTAACCAGGGATTGCCAACCTCTGGCACGTTTAACACATTTGACAAGCATTTGTATCAGGCGCTGGGTTTGGGATTTAGACTCACTCTTAAGGTTGTCCCCATCAACACCTAGCAGTCTGACTCTAGACCAAAGTGAATCTAGATTCCTTTTTATATAACATTTCTGGGCTCTTTTCTTGGATGTAGGAAGTTCCCAAAATATAAGCTATTCCTAAAGCCCTATGGATTAGTAAAATTATCCTATGACAATTTTCAAATGTTGTACTTTTTAAAAAATCACTATGCTAATGGTAGTGTTGGAAAAAGAATTAAGGTTTGAGCTGAGGTGTCTTCCTGTCTGTGAGATGTAGTTGAGGAGGCAGAGAGAGCCAGGTCAAAGATACCCAATAGGTTTTGCTATTCTTGAGCGTTATCTTGCACAGAAAAATGCTCTTTACACTGTGAATTGTGGAACCCCTTGGCACATATAGAATTTCTTGCCTCAGTAAAGCTAAGCTAAGGACATTATAAAATGTTATCCCCCCCTTTTTTTTTCCCTCTTTAGAAGTATGTATGTTATTTTGTACTTCCCATGGCCAAAGCTACTCTGGATGGAAGCAGCAAACAAATGCATCAAAAATATTAAATGTGTAATTGGAAATCCCAAGCTATACTAAGTGCCCCTCATCTGTGTCCCTATGTCACCTTCTTGTGATGACTGATTTTATGTGTCAACATAATATCACCATGTTTTGTTTATGTGTTTACAAAGAGTCACCTGGTGACTTCAGGTAGATTATCCTCAATAATGAAGGTGGGCCTCACCCAATGGGTTGAAAGCCTTCAGAATGAAAACTGAAGTTTCCCAGAGAAAGAATTCTGCAATATAGAAACCCTACTGGCCCACCCTATTGATTTGGCTTATCAGCCCCCATAACTATGAGAAAATTCCTTAAATCTCTTTATATACACATGTGTGTATGTAGGTGTGTGTTTGTACATATATTAGGAGGTTATGCTCGTACAAAGAAAAACAAGAACAAAAATAATCAAACTTCATTTCCTTGCACATGACACTGATGGCAAGATTTCTAAGTAATCATCCCTTTATTTAGTTTCGATAAGGACTTCCAGCACAGAACACTGTTAGAAATTAACCGTTAGGAACTACGTAAAAGAGATGTAAGGCAAGTACTATATAAAGACCAAATAGATAAACACAGGTTTTATTTTTCTACAGAATTTACTGCAGGTTATCATGTAATAAAGACAAAAGCAGATCACTCTTAATGTGTCAAATTTGTTTAGTAATTTAAATAAGAACATAGGACTCCCATCACACAGATAATTCTAAATCTATTTTGAAAATCATCAGGAAGTATCTATGTACTACCTATCATATTATACCAAAAATAAGGCTGCTCTCTTCACAGAATATACGGATAATGAAAGTGGGGAAATCAGAGGGCGAGACGAACCATGAGAGACTATGGACTCTGAGAAACAAACTGAGGGTTCTAGAGGGGAGGGGGTGAGGGAATGGGTTAGCCTGGTGATGGGTATTAAAGAGGGCATGTACTGAATGGAGCACTGGGTGTTATACGCAAACAGTGAATCATGGAACATTACATCAAAAACTAATGATGTAATGTATGGTGACTAACATAACATAATAAAATAAAATTTAAAAAAAAAGGTGGCACTAAACGTACAATTAAAAAAAAAGAATATATGGATAATGAGTAATCAACCATCAACACAGAGGATGTTCTAATATTGGGGAAATAGTGGAAAACTATTTGTTAAAAAACAAATTTCTCTGGACATTGTTTATCTTGCCCTTGCAAGAGACTTGTAGATCCAGATGAGATTAGCTTAGAAAAGGGGTCTTATTTAGTCCAGAAAATCTTCAGAGTCCAATACAGTTCTGAGCTAATCAGATACTAAAGAACCTTTACAAGGACAAGTAGGCTTGGAAATCACACAGCCTTATTTTGAATTAGCTTGTTTTAGTCAAAGGTATGGAATTAATGATCAAATACCAGGAATTTCTGTAACTCACCCAATGCCAAATGACTACTGACATTCTATTTCCTACTATGATGACTCCTTGATTAGAGGTAGGTGGGAGGCATAAAGAATACTGTGAGCTATAAAATAAATTGTACTCCAATGCCCACATCTCTAAAGACAAATCTTGTTTTTTAATATAAGAAACTCACTGAATCAAATGAATGCTGATTAGAGCAAAGGTAGTGTAAGTAAAACTGGGACAGGAAGCCTCTAACTGCATAGGAAATACATGAAAGAATTAATCATTCTAAAAGAAGAATCATTTTCCCCCTAGCCCCCCTGTTGTGGATGATATTTTCGTGAGCCTGGGCCACTTTCTCCAGTGAATACTGAGAACCTATTACAGGTCTCAACCAACCAATTTCCATTCCAGCTTGAAGGGCAGCTGCAAATTGCCTAAATTCCTCCTAAGTGAAAGAAAAAGGTCTTTTTGTAGAAGAACACGTCACTTAATTTTCAGAAAAATTTTCAGATCACGAGTCGGAACATAAACAGTTCCTTACACATATGTGGCTTTTGTCACTTGTCCAGAACTACAGAAAAAGTAGTTTTCTATAGAGTAACCTTAAGTCCAATTTGTCTGAGGCAGTGTCGGTTTACAAAAAACCTACTGTCCTGAAGCAATTACTAATAGTATCTCCTTTCTCTCTCAAAAGTGTCTTCCCTTGGAAAATAAATTACATCGCCCCCCTAGTTATCTTGTAGTGACTAATCCTCAACAAACCCATTCAGTCAGATAGCAAAGTTTAACATCTACTGGAATTTTCAGTCTGCCTGACTAGGCAAACTATATCGATGTTTAAGTTATCAAAATCAGAGTCACTTGTTTTCGTACCTTAGTTGATGAATAGAGAGCAACTCCAATTATACTAGATTCCTTTGCCATGGTGTCCCGTGGGTTTATTTCAATAGGACCTCTGCTGCCAACAACCTAGTATGAAAAACAACTTGTCTATAGTTAAAGATTACTGCAAAATAGTATTAAATTATGGTAAAGCTTCAAAGTGGTAAGAAGAAACCAAAATACTTACTATTACTCGTCCTCCATATGACAGAAGATTCAAATCATTACTAAGATTTACATTAGCTAACATTTCAATGATCACATCAATTCCTTTTTCACCAACAGATTTCTATGTAATAAAAAAAATGCAGAGTAAGATAAGAAAACAAGTAAAAAAAAACAACTGTAAAACAGTTATCACAGCCCCATATATTACAGAAATGTGTTTCAAAAGACATAAAATGCTACATTTTTAAGACTAATATACAAATTTTAAATGATCTAATTATATAGTGTTGATATAATTCCAAGGTACCAGTCACAACATTTAAAGTGATAAAGATTTATACTAAGTAAATTTCAAGTGCTTCGACTCAACTTGACTATAAAATACTTTTTCCTCAGTTGAAAATTTTCTGTTTTCAAATGTATTTTCACAGAGAAGCAAACAACAAATCCCAAATCGGCTTACACTTTTGTTAAAAAAACAAAAAACAAAAGAAGGAAATCATTGGCTGTTTGGTGTTGCCCAATTTTTTTGTGTATGCATTCAATTTTGTCCCAAGTGGTTTACAATCAGCTTGGCATACTACTTTTCTTTTGGGTTTTCAGAAATGTTGGTTTGCAATATCCAAAACTGGCTCTTCTCTTAAATAAGTTATACATATACACCTTATATTCATTTTATTTAACAAAAAAAATGAATACCTGTGTCAGGCATTTGTTAAGTACTGGGAATTCAAAGATGGACACAGAGAACTCAAAACAAAGCTAGGGAGAAAGATGGAAACCTACCGCAATCATAGCTGTGATGGGATGGGCTAAGTGCTGCGTTAGTGGAAATAAACTATAGGTTATAGAGAAAAACAAAGCTATAACTCTGATCACCTGTAATGATCAGAGAAAGTTCAACAGAGATGAGAACCTGGGCCCTGAGGAATGAGTAGGAGCTCTTTAAGCAAATGGAAGGAAGAGGAGCCAGCAGAAGCTGCACCTGAGGCGGGAGAAAGAGAAAATAGAAGAGCTATGGACTGAGAGTCCGAGTCGGGATTAGAAAGTAGCCCAGAGGAGCTGGGGCACGTGTTTGGGAAGGCGGGGGGCGGGGAAGAGGTAGAGAGGCGACTGTCAACTATACCAGTATGGACTAGGAACACGTATCGAATGCCATGTTAAAGGAGCTAGACTTTTGGGAGGCAGGTGCTAATTTTTGTGCCAGACCCTGTTTTAGATACTGAAGGTGCAGCAGGGACCAAGAAAGACAAAAATTCCTATTCTCATGGAGCTTCCACTTTAGTTATTCCTGGAGATTTTTTTTTTTTTTAAAGGAGAACCAAGTAAGTCTGGAAAATGTGAAGACAGAAGGGGATATTAGGTCAGTTATAAATAACAGACAAAGCTGGAGAAGATGAGGACTAAACTAAGTCACAGCAGAGACGAGAACAAAGGGAGACATATTTGAAAGGCATGTCAGAATAGAAACTGACAGAGGGAGGTGGCAGACCTGACGGGCAGGAAGGAGAACAGTAATTAAAAGATAGGAATTAAAAATGAAACGTGGGTCTGTCTTGGGTGAGCAGATGAGTGGCCACGTCCAGCAGGCTGATGGCATGAAGGAAGGGAACGCAGGCCAGAGACAGTGCTGGAAATCCGCAGGATGTGGGCACAAACTGAAGCCATGGTTGTAGATGAGATTGATCAGGGGGAAGGTCTAGCACCAGGGAAGATACGAGACCAAGGGGAAAGGCTAAGGAACAGCAACACCTAAGTAATACGAGGAGGAAGGGGAATGAAAATGAAGTCAGGGAAGTAAGAAGAGAACCAGCTGCCAGGAGATGTGATCAGGGTCAGCTGCTGCCAAAAAATCACACAGTATGAAGGCTAAGCCAAAAGCAGCAGAGGGATAATTAGGAGCTCACCGGTGACCTCTGACAAGCAAAATGCAGTGGAAGGTGCTGGGAGGTAAGGAAGTAAAAGGAGTAAGTACTCACTGCTTTTTCAAGAAGTGTGGTCGTAGAGGGGGTGGAGGGTTTGATAAAGGTTAGGGGAATGATTTGGAGAATGAGAGAGACTTAAGCAGAAGGAGCTAGTGGAAGAGAAAGAAGCCACAAGACCTCAGGGTCTTAAAGTCAGATTTCTGCAAAACAAAAACATATTCTTAAATTAACTGGCCATTTTTCATCTTTGTAAATACTCTTGGATGATGGGAGCAGGAGTGACTATTCAATTAATTTTAGGTTTCTTAGACATATACAAAGGAGTACTTTTACTCAGTTTTTTGGCAATATGATTTAGTGCTAATAAATAAACTCTCACTCATACTTTCCTCAATTTGTTAATGACTGAGGTTACATAGTAATCAGTACCTGGAAAATTCTAAGTCTTTCTCAACATAAGCAAGTAATTTGAGGTTTAGCAAAGTAATCACTATTTAGTAAATTTCTACTATAGTACAGAGAACTTCAGAATCTGCTTGAATTCTGCTCTAACAATGGAATATATGCAACAACTAACTAAAACCTACTTCACTGCTCTGGATGAGGTAATGATTATTCCTCCACGGCATCCAATTAAAAATAAACTTTTTTCCCTAGGCTAGACGGATCCAGTTTGTAATCTGTAGATACCTCACTTTTCACTAAAAAGTTACACCAACAGAAATTATATTAAGAAAACCCCGTGGTTGCCAGAGGCAGAGGGCTGGAAGTGGGTGTAATGGGTGAATGAGGTCAAAAGGTACAAACTTCCAGTTATAAAAAAAAAAATAAGTCACAGGGATGTAAAGTACAGCATGGCCAACACAACTGTTAATACTGTATCACAGGGCGCCTGGGTGGCTCAGTTGGTTAAGCGACTGCCTTCAGCTCAGGTCATGATCCCAGGGTCCTGGGATCGAGTCCTGCATCGGGCTCCCTGCTCTGCGGGGAGCCTGCTTCTCCCTCTCCCACTCCCCCTGCTTGTGTTCCCTCTCTCACTGTGTCTCTCTCTGTCAAATAAATAAATAAAATCTTTAAAAAAAAAAAAATACTGTATCACAGATCTAAAAGCTGCTAACAGTAGATCTTAAAAGTTCTTATCAGAAGAAAAAAATTTTGTGACTATGTATGGTGATGGATGTTAGTGAGATTTACTGTGGTGATCATTTCACAATATCTACAAGTATCAAAAAAAGTAAAAGGAGGGTGCCTGGATGGTGCAGTCATTTAAGTGTCTGACTCTTGGTTTCAGCTCAGGTTATGATCTCAGGGTCATGAGATAGAGGTCCATGTCCTGCTCCACACTCAGCATGGAGTGTGCTTGAGTTTCTCTGTCCCTCTCCCTCTACACCTCCCACTCCTCCTGCCATACTCGCTCTCTCTATCTCTAAAATAAATAAATCCATCAATAGATGAAAGGATAAAGATGTGATGTATATATTATATATATATATAATATATAATGGAATATTACTCAGCAATCAAAAACGAAATCTTGCCATTTGCAACGACGTGGATAGAACTAGAGGGTATTATGCTAAGCAAAGTAAGTCAGTCAGAGAAAGACAATTATCATATGATCTAACTCATATGTGGAACTTAAGAAACAAGGCAGAGGATCATTGGGAAAGAGAGGAAAAAATAAAAGAAGACAAAATCAGAGAGGGAGACAAACCATAAGAGACTCTTAATCATAGGAAAAAAACTGAGGGTTGCTGGAGGGGAGAGGGGTAGAGGGATGGGATAACCAGGTGAGGGACATTAAGGAGGGCATGTGATGTAATGAGCACTGGGTATTATATAAGACTGATGAATCAAAGACCTGTACCTCTGAAACCAATAATACACTATATGTTAACTGAATTTAAATGATTAAAAAAACCCAAAAAAACAAAACTAAATAAATGTTAAAAAAAAAAAGAACTCAGGGCTCTAAATACAAAGCTATGACTTTACTTAAAATGTGACTACATTAAAGAGTAGCAATTTTTATAGCTATAAGACTCTGGAAAGGCTAGGTTTTATTTGATAAACATAAACAAGACAGATGAGAGTAAAGATTTGAAAATTAGACATCTCTGCTTTTTAATTTATTAAAACTGTAAAACACATAGGCATAAAAAAAGAAGCAAACAATTTTAAGAGAGTGGTTGATAAGAAAAAAGAACTTACAAAAAAAGGAAGTCTCCCAAGAAATAAAATTTACTTTTATAAAACTGTAGAATAGTTTTACCTTAATTTTATCAATATAATTGAGTTCTCTGTGATTGAACACTTCATGGGCTCCATTTTGCAAAACAATGTTTTGTCCTTCTTCAGTACCAGCTGTGCCCAAAACCTTTAAGCCATAAGCTCTGGCAATTTGGCATGCTGCTAGTCCAACCTGAAAAACAAAATATAAATGCCTAGTTTTAGATTCTTTGCATCCCTGCAAATATTTATTAAATATATGTAATAAACTTAAGGTTCTTCTAGGTCCTACCCTATCCTTAAGGAATTTCGAGTCTAAATGAAGAAATAAGAACAACAATAGCTAACTTTTATTGAGCATTTATAATGTGTCAGGTACCACTCAAAAGACTTTCAACCCATTGCTTTATTTTAGCCTCACAATAAGCCTAGGAGGTAGATATTATTATTGTCCATATTCAATAGATGAGAAAACTGAAGCTTATAAAATATAAGTAACTTGCCCAGGTCACAGAGATGGGAACACGGCCAAATCACAGAGCTGGGCCAATTCAGTCTGTAGAGCTTGAGCTTTTAACCACGGTATCAAAATGCTTACTATTAGCATCTACTTTGTGCAGAAGGTACAGGGTTTAAAGATATTCAAAACTTGTTCACTGACTTCATACTTTAACAGTACATATAAAATGCTAAATGACAAATGTGACATCATTTAAGTGGAAGAGATAGGTATATGAGCAAATTAATCCATTCATCCATATGATGACCATTTATTGAGTGTTTACTATGTGCTAGGCATGGTACTTCATGTAAGAAACTTATATTCTGAGAAAGGGGGAAAATAATAAACACACAAACAAATAAATGAATGAATAAAGTACATTCAGAAAAGAAAAAGTGCTATGAAAAAAAACCTAGCCTATTGGAGATAGGGAGAGGGACTAGTGAGGTCACCAAGAAAGACCTGAGTGAAGTGAGGGATGAGCCGTGTGAATATCTGGAAAGCCTGGTGGAGAATGCTGTAGGCAGAATGGTTGTGACTCACCTGGTGACATGGGAATGAGCTTGGGGCATTCAAAGGACTGAAAGAGGGTTAACGTGGCTTGACAGCAGGGTACATGGGAGATAGTGCAAGATGCGGGCAGAGGGGCATGCAGGGCCTTGCAGGAATTCACTTTGAAAAAGCTGAGCTGTATTTGCTCACTTAACTGAGGATGTGCAGTAATTAGCTAAATACACATATGGACTTGGGAGCATCCAGAGTTGGAAATATAAATCTGAGATTCATCACTTTATAGTTGGTATTTAAAGCCATGAATTGGGGGCACCTGGGTGGCTCAGTCATTAAATGTCTGCCTTCGGCTCAGGTCATGATCCCAGGGTCCTGGGATCGAGCCCTGCATCAGGCTCCCTGCTCGGCGAGAAGCCTGCTTCTCCCTCTCCCACTCCCCCTGCTTGTGTTCCTGCTCTCGCTATCTCTGTCAAATAAATAAATAAAACCTTTAAAAAAAAAAGTAAGAAAATAAAGCCACAGATTGCATGAAATCACTAGATCACTAAATAAATGTACTTAGGGTAAAGGAGAAATAAAAGCATATAAGGAATATAGATAAAAGCAGTTATTTAAATTGCAATACTAGGAAATCTATGTTTGGTTACAGGTAAGTGTCACATACATTTAGAGCAGGGCTTCTCAAACTTAGCACTACTGACATTTGGGGCTGGACAATTCTACGTTGCGGGGGGCTATCCTGTGCTTTGAAGGATGTTTAGCAGCATGTCTGGTATTTATCTACTAGACACCAGAACTCCTCCACCCAGTGACAACCAATAATGTCCCCAGACACTGCCCCAAATGTTCAAGGGGGAGGAGGGATGATGCTAAACCACCCCCATTGATAACCAATGATTTAGAGGAAGGTAAAATCATTATGGATTGAAAAGAATTAAAATGAAAAATGATGATAGAAACTGATTAAAACTGTAACAGAATCACAGACTCCCAGGTCTGAAATAGACTTTAAAGATTGTATGGCATATGGGAGTGATGAGCCTCAACTCAGTTGGGTTTTGGCAGGGATTTGTTTGATTTAACCAAAACAAACAAACGCCCAGGACTCACGGTCTCATGAGTCAGAGAGACATTCAATTCCACAAAATACTATGGAGTTAGCACTATTGATTTTTGCTACTTTAAAAAAAAAAAAGGCCTCTAATAAAACTACATGTAAACTAAAGATTTAATGCAAATATATCTCCTTCTGCTCTAAAGAGGCATTTAATAGCTATTCTGAAGGTACTGTTTATGCCCTTCTTGTCAACAATTATACCAGGAACAGTACTTCAATAGATTATATACCATTATGTGTCAATTATTGTTCTTTACTTTGCTGACATTAAAATAGGGCACTCCCCACCAACATATCTGGATAACAGCTGTGTTCATAAATTCCACACCATTTTAAATACACAACATAATCCCAGAGGAATTTGAACTAAATGAGGACAGAAAGTACAAACAGAAGCAAGACAAAACCCAGTACTATTTCCCTCTAGTAGGGCAGGGAGGATCAGAAGCGCTTCTCACACCAGGCCACCAGCCTATCCCTGCCAGCCAAGGATTTAACAAACTCAGCCAGCTCAGAGAACAGTGTGGATTTTGCCTTAAAAAAAAAAAAAAAAAAAAAAAAAAATTAAAAAAATCATGGTGAAGTGACTGGGCTTTTTACAAGAGGGTAAAGGGAATAAAAAGAGATTTTCTTTAAATTCTTCTCTGCCCTTCCTACTGAAACCTCTCCCTTTTATACAGAGCACCAGGTTAGCTCTCTGAAAGCCAAAGCAATTTAAATAAATGGAAGTTTGACAGATCCTTTAGTTATTTTGGGTTAAATTTATTTAACCCAAAATAGCCTCTTTGGTGAAGCTAAGCAATGGGAATTTTTGACAAGGCATATCTGTCATATTTTCTCAAGCCCCCAAAAGACAATCTTAGTCTTTTTAGTAAATACTCTGATCTGTGAAATCCTTCAGAATTGATCTATTTGAGGTAGACAGGAGGCTAAGTGTGGAATCTTGTGCTTCATCTATTTAAGGTAACAGAAACACAATGGGTTGAATGCTCTGTAGTCCCTGGCCACCTTTAGAGGTAAATTCACATTTTTAGGATGCCACTCATTATTCCAGAACAATGTGCCATTTGACAGGCTACTCCTTTCAACTACTCTGCGGAATACACAGTGCTCTGAAAGGGTTAACCAGCTTCCTCAAGGTGAGCCATCTAGCCCCAGGCCCTGTATTTTAAAAAACATGAAATCTCATCTCCAAAATTTCTAAAGCCTCTACATGCAGGATAGAGGTCATGTGGATTTCTTGTTAAATTCCAACCTCAGAGCTCTAACTTTTCCTCTAAGCTCCTCAGAGGCAGATTGACAGCCGGTTTCTTGAAGAAGCTTCTGACAGCCCTGTGTTGGGTTATTTCACTGAAGGGCTTATTTTAAAGTTCTCAGTCCCTCCCCCCTCTCCATTAGCATTTAAGCCATGGGTTGTGGCGTTAAGGACACAGCTGTACACCATGCATTCCATGAATGTCCTCAAAGCGCAGCAGGCAAGCAGTGGAAGGGAGATAGAAGAGTCTCAGAATTCACAATGTGGCTTTGCAGTGCTGTCTGGGGCAACACAGGTAAAGCTTTAATGAGCCTTAGTTTCCTTAGCTAAGGGAATATGGAATTAATATTAACTTTAAAAACCTGTTTAAAATTCCAAATAAATACTCTTACAACATATGCTACTTGAAGGCAAAAACAAAGCCAGTTTATTTTGGTCTGCACCTGACACAGGTGGAAAACCTAATACAGATATTTTTAATAGGGTGATCTGCTGAATGTATTAACCAAGAAATGCTAAACTAATGACAAGGAATCACCTTCAGAAGACAGCATTTGAAGAAGCTTTACTACAAAAAGGAATATATGTACTGACTACAAGTATTGACCATATTTATTAACATGACTTTTAAAAATGACTGAAAAGAAATATAATGTGAAACCCACACACATAAGCTCCTTTAAACATAAACTTAAAAATAAAGAAATACTTACTCCTCCGCTAGCCCCATGAACCAGCACACTTTCTCCAGCTTTCACACGGGCACTGCAAAACAAGACAAGGGTTCATCACCTCACGTTGAAGGTAATGAAGCTCAGGTGTTTGTCATTCTTCTTAAGGAAATTCTACCCTCAGTTCAGCTAACGCGTCCCCAAACAGGAAACTCATTCTGCTCTACAGCCCAAAATACTCTCCAAGCTTCACAGGATCAAATGAGGGTTCTACAGGGCCATAGACGAAAGAAAACATGAAATTCATTTGTTCGTTCAACAAATGTTTAATGGGAACCTATTATGTGCCAGGCACGGTGCTGGATGCTGGTAGCACATCAGGGTGCTACCTTCCTTCTGGGAGGCTACCGTCTTTGGAGGCACGTGAAGTGAAAGAGCTGAACCTAGAGGAACAGGAGTCTCTCGTTCATTCCTACAGAAAGTGTTCCAAAACAGGCTTATGATAGCCCAGTCTCGGTTCTGTGACCCAGGGTAATGCCCAAGAAAACGCAGAAGTTAGATGATTTAAGAAAACATTTTCCTTCTCTATGCCTTTGAACATCAGGTCGTACAGCCTCTAAGCCCACATTTCAGAGAGCAATGCTGAGTCAGCAGCGCTACGAGGGTAAGAAATACGATCAATCCTGTCACAGAGGTTTCCATGTCACACCAAAAAATGTCTAGATCCTCCGGTAAGATGACATATTCTTTCTACTTCTGGTTCATCTGACTACTTTTCCATTATACCGAAAATAAGGCACAGGCAGCAAGACAGACAGGAGATGCTTTATTATTCCAGATGGACAAGTGCTAATGTCCCAATCCAGCAGCTGTTCTGTGATCCAGATCGGACTCTCGGGGAGGATCTCTTACTTCCTAAAATACTGGGGGTGGCCACACTGTACAGATATTATGTTCAATCTGGGAGTAAGAACACAGTGACCCAGAGTCATGCTCAAGGCTGCGTGCCAAGAGCTGACAAATAGCAATCACGAGCAGTAAACGAAACTTCTTCCAATACTCTTGTTTAGAGGTAAGGGGACTGAGGGCAGTGAGTTAAATGGAGAGTCTAAATGATAAACTATTACCAAACACTTTGAGATTTTAAAAAGTAAAATATGAATGTAAGGGAATAGGATTACTGATGTCATACTATGGCATATGAAATACTTTTCCCAGAAATGGTTCTTTTAAGAATCTTACAGACAACCCCTCAAACACTAAGAGCACATTCTCCTAAACCACTGGGCCTGGGGTGGGAGGTGAAAAAGCAAGCTAACCCTCTCTTGGACCCCACTGTTATGATCCTTCTACCCTTGCACAGAGTCATTGTGATGGTTAATTTTATGTGTCAGCTTGGCTGGGCCATGGGGCCAGAATTTGGTTAAACATTATTCTGGATGTCTCTGTGGAGGGCCTCATCCAATCAGCTGAAGGCCTTAAAAGAACAAAAACTGACTTCTGGAACAAGAAGTGATTTTGCCAGTAGACTGCCTTTGAACTCAAACTGCAACTCTTTCCTGGGTCTCCAGCCTGCCAGTTTACCCTATCAGACTTTAAACTCACCAAGCCTCCACAAATCAATCTCTCTCTCTGTATATGTATGTATGTATGTATGTAATACGTACATATGTACATATACATTCTGTTGTTCTGTTCCTCTAGACAACCCTGACTAATATAGTCAGCTCCCCTGGGGGCTCATGGCAGGGGCTCGAGCCTTGGCCTGGCCTTCCATGCTGTTGTTCCAGACTTCCTCCCAGTCACTGAAGATTAGTACCTGGCACATTAGTACCTGGCTTTCTCTTCCACGCCAAAACCGGCCCTAATCTAAAAGATTTCAACATTCTCTGGGAAGAAAATCTTGAATCACAAGAATTCCTGAATTCTCCCCTTTAGCCACTCTCTCCCAAGGCGGAACCTGGTAACCACCCCTGAACACTCTACTAGAGAAATATCAGACCCTAATAACCAGTGTTATGACAGTAATCTCCTATCCTAATTCTGCAAGCCCATATTCTCTCAAAATCTTTTCTCCAACTTCCCAGAGATTACCATCTCTGGATTGCTCAATTTCTGCCTACTTGTTGCTCCTGCCCCATTTCCTGAACTAGCCAGCCGGGACCCCATAGCAGGTCACCCCGGCTCCTCTCTCTTCCTCTCCTGGGCTCTCATTTCCTTCATGCTACTCCATTCTGTCCCTAACATTCCAGCCCTGGATTAATGTTAAAATCCAACTTCCGTGATAATCTACCCAAAGGGCAAAGTACTATTAAAAAAAAAAAAAAGATCACGTGACCATGCATTTTGGTGCCACTTCCATTCTGATTCTCAAAAGATTACTTTGCCGCCCATTTAATTATAAAAAGTGAGGCAATCTCATATACGTTCCTTCAACACTCCACCTCCCTACCCACACATTTTTCCATAGTTATACCATCTTTACCTCTTCTGGGCTTAGCAGACGAGATGTCCTTTAATATCTGAGGCCAATCTCTCCACCCGTCCTACTTCTTTCCATCCCACCATCTGCCGCTCCACCCTCTCTTCCAAACCTTCCGTCGCTCCCTCTGCTAGATCTTTCCTCAGCTATAAACATATGCAGCTCCCGTCCAACCTTTTGTCCCCACAAACTCCCGAGTACTCTTCTACTTCCTCCTCCTTATCTCCATTCAAGGAACCCAATTCCACCTCCTTCCTCAGCCCAATCAAGCTTCTGTCCCGCCGCTCTACTGGGAAAGTGACTTGGACTCAAGTCACCAATCACCTCCTAATTGCTAATCCTAACTGTTCTTTTTTTTCCCAAACACACCTCACTGCTGCATTTGACAGCTAGCTTCCCTTCTTAGTAGCAACATCAACCACTGCCCCTAACACCACCAACACCGACGACGGAGTACTTACTCTGTGCCAGGGTCTGCACTGAGATTCACAGGTATGACTTCACTGAATTCTCACCACACCCCTAGGAAGGAGGTGCTATTAATATTCATGTTTTTCAAACCACTAAACTACAGCTGAGACAGGGAAGTAACTGGACCACGGTCATATGGCTGGTAGTAGGAGATGACAGTCCAGTAACAAGTCTTTCTGTCTTCAAGGACCATGAACTTAACAGGTGTTTAACAGACACCATGACCTTGGCTTTGGCAAACGCTCCCTTTGGTCTCTTAGGACTCTGTCCCCTACCTCTGACTATACTCCTCCATGCTGATTTTCTCTAACTTTCTATTCTCACTCCACTGTTCTTCACTCCCTGAAGGCTTTCAGTCACTTTCATCTTGTCAACTCCCACCCACAGGCTGATAACCCCATGTTGACATCTTTACCCTTCAGGCTTCAGATTCTTTCACACAACAGGTTGCTGGTCTTTTCCATCATGATGCCTATCTTGGTTTCAACTCCAAAACTGGACCAAGCTTCCCTTTGAAACTTTTTCCTTCTTTTCTTTGTCATAGTTAAACATTTACCAACCTAAAGAGCTAGAAGTATCCGTAAGTTCATCTTCTCTCTCATTCTCCACATGCAAACAGTCACCAAACACACCTGATTTTACCCTCTAATAGTTGTCCTTTCCCTTCCACCTTTTCTACCATGGCTTTTGCTCTGGCCCTTAGGTATTTTGCCTAAAGGATACTCGTATAAGACCCACCCATCTCCTTCTCCACTCCTGTCATCAAATCCATCCTTCACATACTGATAGGTGATCTTAATAAAACACTCATATAACAGTATCACTCTCCTGAATTGAACATTTCATGACCCCCAACCCCTTACGGAACAGTGTGCGAGCTCTATCATCTTGCTTTTTACAATCTGAAACCTACCTATTTCATGTGACAGCTAATATTTATTAAAAGATTACTATATTCCAACCTAATTCTATGCCACTCTTTGCCTTGTAATCTTTTATCCAACAAAACCAAATTGCTATAGCTCTCCTTAAATATCATGATTCTCCCCCCTCCGACACCAGGCTATTCCCATTGTCTAGAATTTCCTCTCCCCTCCCAGCTATCCTTCCCCAAGATAACTCCCTGATTAAAGTACATATTTTCAGAGGGGCGCCTGGCTGGCTCAGTTGGTGGAGCATGTGACTCTTGATCTTGGGGTTGTGAGTTCAAGCCCCATGCTGGCTACAGAGATTACTTAAAAATCAACTCTTTAAAAAAAAAATTATATATATATATATATGTGTGTGTGTGTGTGTGTGTGTATATATATGTATGTATATATATATAAAAATTGTCAGATCCCAGCCATGGAGACTGACCAGTGGGTCTAGGGTAGGGCCCTACATGGTATTTTTAAATTGCAGCAATTAGTTTCTAGGGCTGGATAACAAGATTTTTTGAACCATGACTTTAAAATAATCCAAGCCTTACATCTTGGCAAGAAGCCCTATCTCATCACCACTGTTACATCCCTTATGATCCCATAAATCCCTATGCACATCTACACCACTGTACTTTCCACATTATACATCAATATTATAACTCTTGGGCGCCTGGGTGGCTCAGTTGGTTAAGCGACTGCCTTCAGCTCAGGTCATGATCCTGGAGTCCTGGAATCGAGTCCCGCGTCGGGCTCCCTGCTCAGCAGGGGGTCTGCTTCTCCCTCTGACCCTCTTCCCTCTTGTGCTCTCTGTCTCTCATTCTCTCTCAAATAAATAAATACAATCTTAAAAAAAAAAAAGGAGCCCTGGGGGAAAAAAAAATATTATAACTCTTATGTCTGTCTCTCTTACTAGACTGTCAGCATCTTAAAGACAAAGACAGCATTTTGCTCTTCTTTGTATCCCCAGTGATTAAAATAATCTTCCAAATTAGCACAGTTTCCACTCCATAAATGCTTAATGGTAACTAAATAGTAACCGCATAGGAGAGATATGGATGCGTGATAGGAAGGCAGGTGATACCGGCTCTATGACCGACCGTGTGTGTCGTTACCTGTGGAGCAGAGCTCGAAAAGCAGTAAAATATGGAATGCCGATGGCAGCTCCTTGCTGAAAGTCCAGTTTTTCTGGCAGTGTGTAAACACTGTGATCTGCTGCGAGGGCATACTCGGCGTAGCCCCCAGAGATGGTGCTGGTAGTGAAAACTCTGTCACCTTTCTAGGGAAAGCAATAAATCGATAAATGCACCAGGGATTAAAAATGATGTCAATGGGTATAATTCTTTACAATGCAATTTTTATAACAACAAATAAGTATTTATGTATTGTTTTCTACATCTTAGGGTCTCATAAAACTATCTTCAGCATATTGAACATTTTTAAAGGTTTTATTAATAGAAACCAAGAAGAAGAAAACTTAAGGAAAATAGGAAAAAAAAAAGGAAAGGAAAGGAAAGAGAACCTCCAGAATGGTATAATGAGAAGACAACTAACCTTTATCGCCTTTATCGAGAGAGCTTACCGTGCAAGACACTGTATTAGGAGTCTAATGAGTATTGTCTAATTTGATCTTCTCAAGAGCTTATGAGGTAAGTACTTTTCTTATCACCACTTTAGATTAATTCCACTATACAAATGAGGAAATTGAGGGACAAAGAAGTTCAATAATTTGCTCAGATTAAGCAGTTAGTAAATGACAGTTAATACAACTATTTTTTTCTCCGAAATACTAGGAAGAAGAAACAAATAAAATGTAAGGTTTCTTCCACACACCAAATACGTGTTCTAAATCCGTCCCCTGGGTTTCTTCACCCCTGCATTCTTTCCCTCATTTTTTATGCATACACCAAGAGCAGGAAACTATGGCTGAATCCTGACAGCAAGATGAGCTGGGACAGGCTTCTTCGCTTGTTACAGCATCAGAAACACAGTAAACTCTCAGGAAACTCTGCTGGGTCCTTGCTATTGAAAAGCAGACGCATAACCGAGAGTGAGGTAAGGCACGATGCAAGACTTAGAGCCTGCCCAATGTGACCTGCATGCCAGGGAAATCAGACTGTCTACTACAAACACCTGCCCGAACTCTTCTTTCTGGAAAAAAATTAAATATTCCTTGGAATAAGCAAAATATTAAGGCAAGAACTTTCAGGATTATTCAATTGCCCCCCCCCCCAAAAGATCTAAAAAAGTAATAGCACTATGTTGTGGGATAGAAACAAAAAAGATTCAAAAGGCATCCATCCAGCAGTCAGACTCATCCCTGCTTAACAGTGCCACGTGCAAATGGTCAAATATGACTGTGTTAAGATTAATCCTGCTTTAATAGCTTAAAAAGATGTTGCACAGATTGCAATATAATTCAAACATGTTCTAAGAATTCATTATGGAAAGCAGGACTTTGAGTTCTGTGATGGATATTAATAACAAAACAACTTCCCCCATTGAAAGCATCCTAAACCCTAAGAAGAGAGAAAAGGAAAGGATAGGAATAACTACAATGCAAGAAAACATGATGAACCATCAAAGATAAGTAACCAGGAAAAGAAAGGAATTATTTCTAAGTTGAAGGAATCAAAAATAGCTTCACTGAGAAGCCAATATTTAAGGTAGGCCTTGAGGAATTGGACAAGATTTTGAAAACTAGAACTGACAACAGTCATTATGAGTGAAGGGAACAAAGTAAACAAAGGAACAGTGGCAGGAATAAATGCTGAGAAATCGCTAGCATTTGTGCCCAATGAGTAAGTAGTCTAATATATGGAAGGTAATAGTTTCAGAGATAAAATGAAAAGGAACTAAAGCTGGAGGGTAAAAGCCCCCGCACCTATGTTTGTAAGTTTCAGTTTCATTCTGCCAAGCAGAAGAACCAATATGAGCAAAGACAGAGAAGGAAGAGCATGGGGTATGCACCTTATTAGACAGCACAGGTCCACAGCTTGGTGGAAAATTCTAAGATGTCACATGTGATCCTGGCAACCGTGGGGTCATCGTGAAGAAGGCACAGAATGCCAAAGTGTAAAGAGGACTGAGAACACTGGGCAACACTGAAATTTGAGGAGCATCCCGAGAAAGAGCAGCTTGAAAAACAATGCCTAGGAGGAAGTGGGGAAGAGGACAGGAAAAATGATGTCATAGAAGCTGAAGAAAAAAAAATTTTTTTTTTAAGAAAAAGCGGCTGAGAGTGTCAAATGTCACCAAGAAGTCAAGAGAGATAATGACATAAAAGGGCCCATTAACTCCAGCAATCGAGAGGCCATTAGTGACATTAGCAAGAATGTTTCCGTGGAGCTATGGGGGCAGAAGCCAGACCGCCACAGGCTGAGGAGAGCAACGCTGTAGGAATCGGTTGGTCTTCCTGTGCAGAGGCCACGTTAACCTTCTCTGTCTCAGTCCAATTTTGGTAAATGTGCTGCCAAAGTGGAGCAGGTCAAGGAATTATGAGGAAAGATGCTAAAACATGAATATACTATCCATGTTTTAGATTCCTTTTGGCATATAAATAACAAAAGCCCCTATCGTAACATTTTTATTGACTCAGTCACCTTGATCTGAGGCAGAGCTCTAAAAATGTATAGTTGACCTGGCATTTTTTTCATCTTTTACTTATTATTCAAAAGAATTGGCCTTCCCTTTATCTTATGAAACTAAATTTATAAAAGGAATCAAACATTATGTTGGTTTGTGTATTACTGAGAGTTAGGAAATAGTATAATTTCCTTGCCTATTTTCTGTCCTTACATATTTCTGCTACATCAAAAGGATCACAGTTGAATTCTGTGAGGATGTGAAGATAACGAATTTATCCAGCACTTGTCCCCAACAATGGAAACAAGGAAGACCTCCAGATAAAAGGCAATCTCTTTTTTGAATAGAGGAGTCCCCCAAGTGGCAGAAATTGTGTAATGGGGCCTTTCATTTTTTTTAAGTTTTTATTTAAATTCCAGTTCGTTAACAGACAGTGTAATATTAGTTTCAGGTGTACAATCTAGTGATTCAACACTTCCATACAACACCCAGTGCTCATCACAGCAAGTGCACTCCTTAATCTGTAACGGGGCCTTTTAAAGACTTAAATAACAACACATTTTAAAAGCCATGTTAAAAAATTTGAAAAAAAATATTAAGCCAAAATGGAAATAATTTAAAATGTAATACCTTGAAAGTGGATACATTATCTCCAACGGCTTCTATTACGCCAGCCACATCTGACCCAGGAGTATAGGGTAAGAGTGGTTTCCTGCTGTAAGTACCAGAACGAATATACGTTTCCACTGGATTTACACCACATGCGTGGACTTTGATCAGAACCTGCAATGACAACGTATTTTCGTTCACACGGAACATTTAGGCATTCATTCAGCGTTATGCTAGGACTCCACTGATTGTGGGAATTATAAAAATGGAGGGGAAAACCTCACCTTCAACGGACTCACATTAGTTTTGCAAACCAACATATACATAAAAAAGATAAGACAGAAAGGCTTATTATGTGCTATATTAAGGACATTTTGGGAAAATAGTAGTGGAAGTACTTGAGAGGATGTGTGGCACAAACCTCTATGGGCTCATCAAATCTAATTCTTCCTCCTCCTGGGTACATAGGAAGAATATTATTTCTTGGTGCCCTATGATTGAGTTTTAGCCAACAGAATGTGAACAACAGTGATCAGAGTCACTGTCAGGGCCATTAAAGATGTTCTAGGCAATCCACACTGTGCCTCCACCCTTTTAAAGAAGTGACCCCAGAAGACAGAGGTGTTGAAGGTGGCAGAGCCACATGATGGAAGAAGGCTAGGTCCACAAATTCACTCTTTGAGAGTTACCCACTGATGTTTTAGAATTCTGGAATTTAGTGAATGAGAAGTAATTTTCTATTGTTGAACCACTGAGATTTTGAGGTTACATCTACCACAGAAGCTAATTTTACCTTACTTAATATATAATGATTACTTTTGCTGTAGGAGTAAGAGAAGGCCTTACAAAGAAAGTGGTATTTGAGCTAGGCCGTAAAAGGAGAGTAGATATTCTTTCAGAATGGGAGAAAAGGGTATCTCAGGTAGAAGGAATAGTATGAGAAGGAATAAAAGGGCCTCTTGGGGAAACCAGATAATGCTGCTTGTTACAGCACAGTCTATTGAAAAGGAACAATAAGAAATGAATCTCTAAAGTTAGGTTATGGCCAAATTGTAAAAACTCTCAGGAGGTTCAAGGTTCGTTAAGAAAATGAGACCTGGGAGTCATGGAAGGTGTGGTAATAAAGATACATAATTTTTAATGAGAAAGTATATCGTTAAAGTCACCAGAAATGATTAAACTCTTCATTTAAATTCTCTTAAATCACATATAGAAGGGCATGTATGCAGAAGAAAACCATTTTCCTACTGTGCACAAAATAGAAATCATGAAAGTGTGTAACAGAATAACTTGTTCAAAACTACTTATGACTCCATGCAGAAAAATTCAATTATGGCACTGCACAGATGATCCTCAACCTCAAAAATGTTCTTATAGCAAGATATTTTTCTTTTTTATAGATCTACCTCACTGTTATAACTATACTCTCTTTGTCAGAGCTCACATGTATCATCAGTATAAACTTTGTCCTAATTCAATGTCTCTACGAATTATTGTGAGTCTGCTTCTTTTGAACATTAACCTGATGTGCTGGAGACTCACACTCAGTGTAATTACTGTCTGTTTTTATGTAATTATTTCCACCTGATGGTCTTTTGGAATTGGTACTGCAATATCCGACTGGAGTTTCAGCACTTCTGGTCCACCAAATTCAAAAACTCGAATCGCTCTCATCAACTTCTGTCCAGTCGCCATGGTGATCTAGACACCAAGGAAAAAAATAATGTTCTGTCATATGGTATCTAGGCTATATCACTATGTTTTTTCCCCTGGAGGAGGCAGATCAAACAATTTTTCAAACAACAATTTAAATCATGAGCTTACACAGATCTCATTTCATGTTTAAGGGCCTTTCATCTTACAACTCCTTCAGCTACAAAGCAAAATACTTGATATTACTTCCTGTAGGGATTCAGTGCCTTCCACAAGGGAATCAAACATGCAAACAAAAACATCTGGCTAGACATAGCATGATACAGTATCTTAGGTTTCTTTTTGTGCAAGTTTGTGCTGCCACATCTTAGAAATTTGTTAAGTTTTATTAACATTAGAGAAATAGACCTATTAGATTATGAAATACTTCAAATATAGAGAGAAACATAAAGAATATAATGAACACATTTACCTGCCACCTGCTTTAATAAATCTTAACATCTTAAAAACCTAGAACATTATAGATATAACTGAAGCCTTCTGTACCCATCCCCAAGCCCATTTCTGGCCCGCACTTTTAAGAGGTGATTATTACCATAAACTCAGAGCTCATCATTCCCATGCATGATGTCATATCACTACTTCATTCAACAATATGTGCCATGTGTTGCATGTTCTCAAACTTTATTTAGATTGGATCATACTGTACTTAATTCTGCAACTTGCTTTTTCTTCTCAACATTAAGTTTTTGAGATTTATCAATGGTGAACACTTAGCTTTATGAAGTTCATTCATTTTAACAAAGGAGGAAAACATTAAAAACTAAAAACACTGCTTTGTATGTAATCTTTTATAAATTACAAGGGTCATTTACAGTTAACCTTTCTGTCCTCAAATACAAGGGGGCAGAAGCAGGCAGAAGACATAAACCTAAGGTCACTGTAGAGCAGCTGGGCAGTCCCTGAGGGTGACACCTGTGTGGTGTGAGGACTGGGAAAAGGCAGCTCACCCCATACCTGCCAACAGTCTCACTACTGAATTTCGATCTAGCTCTTCACTCAGGCTGGGTATTTCTTAGACGAGAAAGTGAAAGTATAAAGACAGTAAAACAGAAACAACACAACAACAACAAAACCAAGGTTGCCCAGCTCAGAGTTTTTCATTCTGGAAATAAGAACACAGCTTTCTTTTCCCTTTTTGTTGCCAGCATGGTGTTACGGAAAGAGTACAGGTTTTGGAACCTGACCGCTTTCAGTATGAATTCCGGCTCTATCAATTTACTAGCCAAATGGCCTTGGGCAAGGCAGTCACCTTTGTTGAGCTTCTTCATCGGAAAACTGGGCTCCCACTCAGGGTTACTGTGCTAGAGACAGAGCAAGCATCAAGCATTAAACCTGGCAAATGTTCACTCCTATATATAGTAGATATCATGATTCCCTTCCCATCTCTTTTCTCCTTTTCAATTTCTTATTCATTAAAATACTCTTGATTCTACAATTCCATAATCACTTTTGATTTTACATAACAATATTTACAGGACTCAGATTATAAAAACAGGACCCTGGCCTCAAAGGATTCAGTCTGGAGAATCATTTAAACAAACATTAATATTAAATATTGGTTGTTATTCATTCAACATGTATTTTTTGAACATTAACTGTAAGCGAGGCCCTGTGCTAACCCCAGAGAACACAAAGGGCAAAGAGAAAATGCCCCAGCCCCTCTCCTAGCTCCTGTTCACTCTGTGCTCTCATTCTTTCACACAGCTACACACACCACGTTAAGATCTGCAGCTCCTTTTCCACTTTCTACCTACTTCCTATTTATTTCTTTCAAGCACTTGCATCTACCTTTTCACCAACAGACATCATTATTATCCTCAAAGAACTGTAGTGGTAATAAAAGGAAAATTATCCCAAAATAGGATCTGTCAAAATTATCTAACACATACATTTCCCCCTACATTTTGATATCTGCTAAGCTGGCAGAAAAGAACAAAGGAAGGAGGATTCTCATCCTTAATACAGGATTTAGAAGACCCTGCTGCCTTGCCTAGTACTACCATCTTATCCTACCAAGCATGTAAGGAGACCAGGTATAACCTTGACAGCGCTGTCTTCTACTTTGCTTCTGTCCATCTTATTTCTCACTGAGTCTTCGCCACTATGATCGATCAGGCTTCAATCTGTACAAACTGCCTTTGAAAACCCCCTCAACTACCCATAATGGGATCATCATCTGCTTCATAATACATAACACATTAAGGTGATACGTCAAAAGGAATAATAAAAAGAAATAATACAACACACAAATTGTAATTATAATTCTTAAACCCAATACCTGATTTCTTCGAAAAAGCACATCTTTTATGTCCACTGGTATAATTATTTTCACAATAGGTAGAAAAGCAACCATTTAATCGTATGCAGAAATGGAAATAAAATCACCATCCATGTTATGGATGAGAAAACATCCCAAGAGGGTAAGAGACTCACCAGGGTCACACAGAAGCAGAGCTAGAATCCAAGTCCTCTATCTTAAATGTTGATTGGTGATGTACCCTTATTGTACAATCCTTTTCATCTTCCCCTTTGAAATGTTGGCACAGAAGATCCTTTAACTTCTTAAAATTCAACTAACTTGCAGATAGGATTACATATTTTATGATTAAGGCATCTGCTCAGAGTGTGAAATTTTCCAAATGTCTGTAAGTTAGGGGGATCCAGTAGTGATACACAGGACAAGATTCTATTAGGAAAACTAATAATTTCCTTATCTGTAAAATGGGGCCAGTACTCCCTAGCATAGAATCCTTGTGAAGATTAACTGCAACAGCGCAGGGTGTGAGTGCTTCACAGCATGCCCAGCATGCAACACGCTCTATTATTCAGACGAAATTATTTGTGTGTCAGCAGGCCTGCCACCTTGCTAGTGTTTTTAATAGATTTTTCTATTTATCAAGTATAAACTTTAAATTAGAGGACCTGGTTTAATTTTTGGTTGTACTTTTGACCTATAAAAAGTTGCCAAGCATACTTTGGAAATCTAGGAAATACAGAATTTAAAATTCCTCCTCAAACAGTGATCTTCTCTATGCTCTGTTTCAATCTGCTTGGTTTAAATAAAAACTAAACGGACAGGGAAAATGTTAGAACTATATTTCAATATAGAATGAAGAAATCAAGTCACAAAGGCATAGCAAGGGCACTTATGAGAGAAGAGCATAAGTAAAATTAAGTAAGAATTTCTAGCAAGACATAACAAAATAAGAACTTGGAAAGAGAGTCATCATTATGAAATGTGCTGCTGCTGATCAAGAATGACTCACGTAAGCCTTTTTTTTTTTTTTAGCCTTAAGCCAGAAATGTAAAAAAACCAAAAAATTAAAAGTAGCCTAAGAAAAGCCTCTTCCTGGCTGGGTGACCTTGTCAGGTTACTTCCCTGGTCTGGATCTCGGTGCCCACTTCTGATAAGAGGGGGCGGTGGAGGAGGAGATGAATAGATAATTCTAAACCCCTCCAGGTTCTTGGATGTGAAGACTGGGTGGAACGAGGCCGGCGGCGCTCCCGGCTCGGGAAGAGCTCAGTGCGATTTGCTGATGCTGACCAGACATGTAGCGTGCCAGTGGCTTCAGTGGGAATCGCACAACTTTTCCATTACCAGTCCAAACTTGAGCCTTTAAATAGTTCAATCATGAACGCATTCTCTGGTCACCGTGATAAGCCTCATCTTGGAACTAAGTGAGCATTTAACGATGTGTTTACGCGGTGTTTTGTCATTTTTTTTTCCTTTGAAAATTATTCCAGGTGGGGGTCATCGGGGTGGGTGGGTGGGCGTGTCAAAGAAACTAGGCATTTCTCTCCAAAAGTACGACAGCACCTCTGATGGCAGAGGCGACTTAAGACCGGGCGGGTGGAGCTCCAGAGCCCCGCAGCCGCGGGAACGGCAGAGGAGCAGCCTGTTCCCCCGCGGGGCTGTGCGCGGGGCCCGCGGCCGACGCCGGCTGCGGCAGGAACGCCCAAGCCCAGGCCCGGCGGCGGGAGCGGCGCCCGCGGCGCCCGCGGCGGCCTGCGGGGTGCAGCCGAAACGCAGACCTCACCGGAGACCAGGGCTGGGAGCTCGCGGCCCGCACGGGAAAGTCCCTGCGTGGTTTACGGATGAGGAATTAGCAGCCCCTAGAGGGAAAGGTCTTCGGCCACGAGCTCCTTTTTCACATTCTCCAGGACAGAACGCGGCACAAGAGCGCGACCCCAATCAAACGCGGCCCTTTTGTGGACGAGCGGCGGGGAGATCCGCTGCCTGGACAACTACAGGGGACTTTCTTTAAAACCACTTACCCGGTTCTAGGGCGGGGAAGCAAAACCTGCGAAGGCTCAGACTCCACAGAAAAGGGGACGGGCCTGGGCGTCTTCTACTTGCTGTCTCCGCCTCGCCCGCGCGTCTCTCCCCGCCCCCAGGGGAGGGCACGACTCGCTCCCGAGCGCGGGACGAGGAGGAAGTTTGGGCCTCTCCGGCCACCACCCGCTTCAAAATGGCTTCCCCCAGGGAGAGGCGTGGGCTAACGTCAAAGTATAGGCCCTAAATCCTTCCTCGCATGGATCGGACCGCAGAGTTCAGGAGATGGAAGGCGCAGTGTCTGAGCAAAGCGGACCTCAGCCGAAAGGGCAGTGTGGACGAGGATGTGGTAGAACTTGTGCAGCTCCTGAATGGGCGAGAACCGTACTTCACCACCAGTTCCTGCGCTGGGCGCATCATCCTCCTAGACGGGGTGAGGCCCTTTTGTTCAGCGCCAGCCTGTGGTGCCCACCCAGTGCAACACCCCAATCCAGCCTGTGTTTGTCCTTCTGATGGGTGGTTTCGGCTTCTTTATGAAACTTAAAGGCTGAATTAGACCAGTGCTTCTAAAACTTTAATGTGTCTATAAAAGAGCATCACCAGGCGCTCTTTTATAATACAGATTCTGATTCAGTAATTCTGGGATGGAGCTGATGATACTCTGTATTTCTAACAAGCCCCCACGTGATGGCGAAACTGCTGGCCTGAGAATGCTCTTGGGTTGCAAGGATTAGAGAATATGATTCTAAATACTAGGGGAATTTAAAAACTCCCAGCAGGGCGAGGCGGCTTTTCTCTTCAGTCGCTTTACCAAATCACCTGCATAGAGCGTCTCCAGGGTTAAGGCGTTTACTGCCTCCTAGTGGCCCACTCCGTTATTACAGTTCTGGTAATTTTTACATTACGCTGAATCCAATAAAATGTACAGTATGGGTTAGTCAAGCCCTCAGACTTTGGAGTGATACTGCTTCGATTCTAAGCTAATTATGGGACTTACTGGCTGTATGATTTTAGGAAGGTTATCTAAACTCAGCCCCTCCCTGTTCTATGAACTGAGGATTATAGAGTATCGGCTTCATAGGGATTTTGCGTAGTAGAAATGGGATAATTTGAAACATTTAGCACATGCCTGGCCCATATTAAGTGTGCTATGAAAGTTAGCTGCATGTCAATTTTAACATTAGGATTGAATTCAGAGCATGAAAGACAGCACACTCATAAGCTCATTTTTTAGATCCCTCATTGACTGATAATTTGACTGATAAATTGACTGATAATTTGCTGGTCCCCCAGGTTAGCAGGGCCTGTATATTTTTATATTGCAACCATTGCCTCCTGAGCAGTGGCACTGGGCTTACTCTCTCCTACTGCCCTATTTTACCTGGATTTCTGCAGCGTTTTCCTAACAGGTCCCTTATCTACCATTCTCTCTACCCGAAACCATGTTACATACTGTTAAAGACAACTCTGCATGTCACTCATCTATGCTGAAATCTTTTATTACACATTTTTCCAACATCAGAAAATCCAAACGCTTATTCTAGTATACCTTCGAACCCCTCTGCTGCTGTGATATTTTCTGCTACTTCTCTTCATGTTTATCTCTTTACTAAAACTGAACTATTCTCTTTTTCATCTTATATTTACCTGCCTTTGCCTTTGTTCATATTTATTATTCCTGAAATGTTTCCCCCATCTCTGTATATTTGAGATGCGACTCCCAAAACTCCCCTCTCCCATCTGAACACAAGCATACACACCCACTTGTAAGTAATGACTGCTTCTTCTGAACTTCCTCAGGACTTTTTCAGAACCTCTTTTCATTTTATGTATATTATTTATTTTCATTTAGTCTTATTTCGGGAAGGATTTGCATCAACTTAAAGAAAAGCAATACAAGAAGAAAAAAGTGGGAAAATCTGGATGAAGGGAATATAGATAAGATGAAGCTAGAGATGGCATTAGTTCCTAAGTATGCCCCTAGATTCTGTAAATTTGCTAGAGGTGAGTCACACATTTGGTTCTAACATTTAGAGCAGGCAACATAAGATCAGATAAATGTCACTGAGGTCATTCAGTGAAGACAAACCAGTTATTTAGGACAGGCACAGCTCTTCCTCTTTCCAAAGCTAGACAGCCAAGTCTCCTGTGAACTCATTGTAAAAATAGTTAACTTTGTAGAAGTATAGTGATTTAGACCTAAGTGTGGTTTCCTGCATCTTCTTTCCAGCCTCCTTGAGGGTAGAATCTGTTTATACCCAAAGAATCTAAAAGAACTTTACAAATAAACATTTTTTTTCAGTTAATTAAAAACAAAAACAAAAACCTGATGTTAAGGTATTGGCTTCTTGAAGCTTTGACCTTGCAGTCCTAGCTCTGCCCTTTGGGTCTATATATATAGTCTAATCCCGATGTTACAAATGTATGCCTTTAGAAACTAGAGACATATTATAAGGGTGTGAACAGTCCACCTGTCAGTAAAAAGTAATAGGTCCTGTGTGGGATTGGGACAGTGCTTTTTTACAAAGGGAATTCCAAGTTGTTCTTTTGTTTGCTTTTTTAATATTGTGCAAGCCAAGGGGCACCTGGGAGGCTCAGTAGGTTGAGCATCCGACTCTTGATTTCAGCTTAGGTCATGATCTCAGGGTCATGAAGCCTGCTTAAGATTCTCCCTCTCTCCCTCTCCCTCTGCCCCTTCAACCCCCCCAATCATGCTATCTCTCCTCTCTCTCCCTCAAAAAAAAAAAAAAAAAAAATAGTTTGCAAGCCAAATAAAACAACTAGAGTATAACTCAGGGCTGCTAACATACAACCCCTTACAATAATCCCTCTTCTCCTGACAAAATCGTGACCATATTTCAGAAAATATTTTTATACCTTAATAAACAATTTATTTTCTTTATATTTCAACTAATTTGGTCTCATTTTTGTTTTGGGTTAAGTTTACCCAAAACCTAGTGAATTATTCTCAGTAATACTTAAAATTACCACTTGGAATTATTAATCTAAGAAAGCTTACAATTATGCTATGCATTGTACTTATTACTTGTGTAAATATTATATGATTAAATTAAATTATGTTTATTTTTTAATTTTAGGATATAAATGGTTTTGAGGTTCAAAAGCAAAACCGTTGCTGGCTACTGGTTACACACAAACCTTGTGTAAAGGATGATGTGGTAAGTTTTTATATATAAACTTAGAAATAAATTTTTAATTCAGAATCACATTAAATACATATGAAAAAAACAGAACATTCAAGGTGGATTTATATGCTTAATTATAATGACTAAAGATTAGAAAACCTGAGAATTCATTACAGTGGCTTTTTTGATTTGGGAAATAAAAGTATAAATATGTATATAAGCATTACTTATTGCTCAACAAAACACATCCTCTTCAACATAGAGAGTTCATGGGTATTGGACACATAGTAGATTGAAAATTTGAATTTCATTTCTACCATTTGATAACTCTGTAACCTGAAATAAATTATACAAGGAGAAGGGAGCTCGGAGAAAGGGATTAGTACTATCTATATATTACCAACATACTGACATAAATAAGTTATACATTATTTATCTGAATTGCTTCTTGTAAATCTTCTGATCTGTCCTGGGTTATTTAGTTTCAGAAATTAAAAATGTTTAGAAGAGTTCATATAAGTTTGTGTTAGTCAGGCACTTTACATTACCTGTTCAGGTGCCTAAATGTTGTCTTAGGTATACTCACTCATTCTTCATCTCTTTCTTTGGGTACTGGTTCTTTCTGCATATTGGCCCTTATTCTCTTCTGCTGGAGGCAGTCTCTGTAGTAGGAAAAATAGCTGCCAACAGCCCCAGCAGAAAAGGACTTCTTGCTAATATCCAGGTATTCCCAGAGGAGTCTGAGTCATCCTGCTTGGGTTAGATGTTCTCCCCTTGAGATCAGTTATTTTTGCCGGTAGAATGGAATACTATCCTCGATCAGACCTAGGCACTTGGCATCTCTGAGATTATTATAGCAGGAGTCATGAGCGATAGGGTCATGATTGACAGTCCCATCAGAATCAAATGGTGTGAAAAAGGGAGGATACAGCCCAAGGATACTAGGTGGACAGAAATAACAACCACCTTGTATAAATTCTAGCTCAAACATATATGCATCTCAAACGTCAATCTAATAACAAAGCATTTAAACAGAACTTCCCTTTTTTTAAGATGTTTTATTTATTTATTTTTGTGCGCTTGCGCGCGCGCGTGAGAAAAAGAAAGAGCAAGCAAGTGCACAAGTGTCAGGGAGGGGCAGAGGAAGAAGCCGACTCGCTGCTGAGCAGGGAGCCCCATGTGGGGCTGGATCCCAGGACCCCAGGATCATGAGCCGAAGGCAGGTGCTTAACTGACTGAGCCACCCAGGGTCCCTAAACAAAACTTTCATATCATATTCCTTTTTTTTTTTTTTTCAAAGTAGGCTCTATGCCCAACATGGGGCTTGAACTCATGACCTCAGAATCGAGAGTCACATGCTCTATGGACTGATCCAGCCAGACACCCGCCTACCATATTCCTTAGTGAAAATCTGTTACAGAGTTAAATAGAGTAGTAGTTTACTTTCCCAGGTATGGCTAGAAAGAATGACACAGAGGTTTATGGGAGAATTGGAAATCAGGTCTTTTAAAAGAATAAGCAGATTAATCAGTGTTTGGAGGAAGAGGACCAAGAAAGCAGAGTGAAAAGTTATTGCAGAAAAAGGATGCTGGATGATTCTGCATGTTTCTGGGAAAAACTGAAGTTGTATATGGTAAAGGGTCACCACAGAAAAGGATCATATATTGGGGTCTGATGCTAACACTTCTCATTTATTTAGATTGCAGCTCTGAAGAAAGCAAATGGTGATGCCATTTTGAAATTTGAACCACTTATTCTTCATGTGCAGTGTCGACAGTTGCAGGATGCACAGATTCTGGTAACATTTTATGATTATACTTGAATTTACAGGTATGTGGGTAGATTTAATTCTAAGCTTTAAATCTACCAAAAAATAATATGATTTTAGTTTAATTAATGAGTTTTTAAATTTAATTATAGATTTGGGGCTATATGTGTTTCTGCAATTTGTAAAGCTAACCAGTTTATTCGATTAGCCAGATTATCAGAATTTAACCAATTTATTTTTTTTACAGCATTCACTGGCAATAGATTCTGGTTTCAGGAACTCTGGCATAACCGTGGGAAAGAGAGGAAAGACTATGTTGGTAAGATAACTTTGGGCAAAAAGCAATTCTTTGGGCATGAAGTGATTCAGATTATTGAAAAACCTCATTAGACTCCTGTCTTTAGTCTCTCCCTACTCAAATCTTGCCATTCCCTTGCTCAGAAATCTTCAGTACTTTATTCTTTCCTACAGAGCAAAGTCTAGAGTTCTTAGATTTGCATTTGAGCTCTTATTTTATAGTGTCTTCCTCTACGTACTTTCAACCTGATTCTCTGTGCCCTCCTCATCCTAAATAGTCAAAGCTCAGTGTAATCAGCACCATGATATAGTGGAGAGAATCATAGGCAGGGGGTCTGAAGTCCTCTACACAGAGACTGGCTACACCACAGCTGTGCTATATGAACTTGGTCAAGCTCCTAATCCTTCAGGGTCTCAATTTTCTTGGCCATATCAGGGGTCCAGCAAACTACTGCCTTGGGACCAAGTCCAGTCCACAGGAGGTCAGATCCCACTACTCCCACTTGATAAATTCTTGTCTCAGGTTGCTTTTGTGCTACAATGGCAAAAGTGAGTAGTTACGACAGATACTGTATGGCCACAAAGTCAGAAAGATTTATTATCTATCCTTTTACAGAAAAAGTTTGCCAGCCCTGGACTAGATGATCTTTAAAGCCCTTTCTAAGCCTCCAGCCTCTCTCAGTCCTTTCCTGGCCAAGTCAACTCCTATTGATTTTGCCCTCTTCTGATCTTCTATAGTATTTATTATTTGTAATGGTATGTATTCTTTGCTTTTTAACTATTTCAGGTTTTCTTCCATTCTAGCTTCCTAGACTTTCCTATTTTCTATCTATTTTTAACAAGTTGCCCATTTCCCAAATAGAGATGGCTTACAAAAGAAGACACCTATAAAAAAACATGCCTAAATAGAAAGTCAAAGCCATGGTACTGGTTTGTGTCCCTGTCTCCTTCCCATACACTCCATTTGGTAGCCCAAGCAAGAACAGAACCGTTCATTCACTTTCCATTCCTTTGTCTTTCGTATTCAGTTACAAGTCCTATCACATCTGCCTCTAATTTCTTATGCCCGACTCCACCTTTCTAAGCCCTCTGTCACTGCCCCTACTTAAGCCTTCATGATCCCTCCCCTCAGTCTTTACAATGGTTTCCTAACTCGTCTTCCTACTACCCATCTTCTCCTTCAGCCCCCCAAACCAATACTATCAGAATCCCCCTTTTAAAAAAGCCAGGGTCAGGCACCTGGGTGGCTCAGATGGTTAAGCGCCTGCCTTCGGCTCAGGTCATGGTCCCAGGGTCCTGGGATCGAGCCCCGCATCAGGCTCCCTGCTCAGTGGGGTCCTGCTTCTCTCTCTTCCTCTGCCATTCCCTCCACTTGTGCTCTCTGGCTCTATCTCTATGTCAAATAAATAAAAATCTTAAAAAATAATAATAATAAATAATAAAAAAGTCAGCGTCTCCATATATCTCTCCCGGTATTCAAGGCCCTACCCAAACTATTTTCCATTTACCTTACTTATGCTCATCTCCTTCTACCACACTTATGCTCCAGTGAGATAGAAAACTATTAGCTGTTTCCCAAATGTATCGCGCTCTTTCATGTGTCCATGACTGTAGATAAGTCATTCTCAGGCCACAATGTCCCCTGCCCCCATTTTTACATCTGGTGAAATTGCACTTATCCTTAAAATCCTAACTCAAATGCCACCTTTCCTCTAAAACCGAGGCCTGGACGCGTTCCCGTGTGTGTGTGTGTGTGTGTCTCCTGGCACAGCGCCTGTGTTGTCTTGTCATTCTTTGTTCACTTATCTATTTCCTGTTTTAAAGTGTGAGCTTTCAAAGGCAGGGATCCTATTATGTTTATTCTGTGTCTTCATACCTTTCATGGGGCTGTAGATGCTCAGTAAAAGTTCACTGAAAGAATTTTTATTTCCTATGCTAGTTTTTGTTGCTGTTCTTAACCTATTTCCACTGTTTGGACTTACTTGGAACCCATTGACGGTTTCATCAAGAAGTTTACTAAGATTGGCAACCCTAAAGCATGGAGAAAGCAGCCACTTTGTGAGATAGAGCAGGCGTGGTTTATAACCGCACTCTGCTCAAGCAGCATAAGAGGCTCTTCCGAATCCAGTCCATTTGATTTTCCCTTGAAGCTTCTGTTGAGATTTCATTTATTTCTTTTCTTTAAATAGCATATTAAAGCTTTCTAAGCTTTAGTGAGACTGAAACTGTTAAAGTGATTGGATTTTTGGATATTATCTGCTTTCCTGAAAGACAATATATAGAATGACTTTCTTAAGAAATAACTTTTTTTTTTTTTTAAAGATTTTATCTATTTATTTGACAGAGAGAGACACAGCAAGAGAGGGAACACAAGCAAGGGGAGTGGGAGAGGGAGAAGCAGGCTTCCCGCGGAGCAGGGAGCCCGATGCGGGGCTCGATCCCAGAACTCTGGGATCATGACCTGAGCTGAAGGCAGTCGCTTAACCAACTGAGCCACCCAGGCGCCCGTCTTAAGAAATAACTTTATGGGGTGCCTGGGTGGCTCAGTTGGTTAAGCGACTGCCTTCGGCTCAGATCATGATCCTGGAGTCCCGGGATCGAGTCCCGCATCGGGCTCCTTGCTCAGCGAGGAGTCTGCTTCTCCCTCTGACCCTCCCCACCTCATGCTTTCTCTCTCTCTCAAATAAATAAATAAAATCTTTAAAAAAAAAAAAAAAAAGAAAGAACTTTATGTGATGGGAAAATCTATTTAATCTCCTTCGATTCAGTTGTGTTTAGCTAAAGTATATTGAAGCATAAACTTAAATCCTATAATAGAACCAAACTGTGTTTAAACACAGCCCTGACTGGGACTGTTCTTTGGTTATTTTCAGTGTGTCTAGTACATAAGTCATTATATCTAACATTGTTTGTTCCTTGTAGGCTATCCGAAGCACACATGGCTTAGAAGTTCCATTAAGCCATAAGGGAAAACTGATGGTAACCGAGGAATATATTGAATTTCTGTTAAAGATAGCAAATCAAAAAATGGAGGAAAACAAGAAGAGAATTGAAAGGTATGTTAATTGGATATTTCTATGTTATTCTTATATATCTAGGTCATATTTAAAAATGCTGATACACACCATCTTCAGTTTATACTCCCAACTGCTTTTCTATTTGTAGTCTTATCTCAGATAATAAAAAAATGATCAAAGTAACAGGTGAGAGTAGCCCAGACAGTAAAAGGTACTAAATGCAGTGTAAAGGGAAGATACATGGAGGATAGTGGGACATGATTACCAGCAACAGGGATAAAGGGAGAGAAACATAGTCCCTCAGGTAAGAGAGCCCAACAGCAATGGGGACCATAACTGATCAAGTTGAAGGCAGCCAGGGAAGAGGTACACACTGCCCCCTGAATGTGATCTACTGGTGATTATCCAGAATCTGCTTTTGAGGAAAGCAACCTGGTTAATTTTAGTCTAATAAATATTTTACATATGTGGCTGATTCTTACGGATTAGATCTAGAATTGCCATAATTGTCCCCGGAAGGATCATGGATCCCAGGATCATGACTACCCCAGGATCATGACTATCAATTTATATCTTTATACCTTCTCTTCTCCTTAAATTTTACCTCCTGGTAGATAAAACTCTTACATTACTTTCTTTTCAACTTTTTCATAAAAACAGAGTTTTTGGCATAAAGAAGTGACGATGATGCTGTCTTTCTTACATGAAAGGAATGCCAGCGATCTGCCATCAGCAAGGTGCATGCTTCTGAGTTTATCAAGGAGTGATGGCCAACTTGTTGTCATTTATAATGTCCTTTCCCCTTCTCCCCACCTCCTTGGCTACCTCACGATGAGTCACTCACTGCCTAAATAATTCTTAAATCATTCTTCTCTCCCCATCTGTACTGTCACTTTCTTTATTCAAGACCACTGCAATAGCCTTGTTAGCTGGTCTCATAGTAGAATGTTTCTAGTGTGTCTCTCTGCCAAGCCATTCTCAATATCACCATCAGAATCCTGTCTGTAAAGTGCAAAGAAGTCCTAGTGTTTTACTTGCCTGCTTAAAATTCTTTAATACCTACAATTTTTTTTTAAAAGTAGCTAAGGCTACAAGTGCTAATGGTAGCAGTGTACGATGGTGGAAAGAGGTAGAATTTGGTTCCAGAGGCAGAACTGAATTTGAATCCAGGTTCCACCACACTTACTCAACATTCTTGACTTCATTTTTCTTTTATCTAACTTGGGAGAAATACCTGTCTTACAGAACAGTTTTCGTATAAATAGCATCTGTATAATGACTGGCCCTATCCCTGTCATGTCATGGATTCTCAGGATAGGGTAGCTCTTTTCCTTCTTCATTGACACCTAATAGAAAATAAACCTATGATCACATCATTACAAACCATCCAGGCTTTCTTAACCAGGACTCCTCATTTGAACGATAGAATTCACGAAATTATTCAAGTGACTTTCTCTCTTGCAAAACTGGTATATATCTTCCATTCTAGATACATTGGAGAGAAGTTAACCCATTATAGACAATGGATGGCTTAGGGCATTGGAGCTTAATTTTCTAGAACACTGGTTGAAAAAAGCTGAGGGGTTGCCTGGCTACCAGGTGCTTTGAGCAAACATTCTAAATGAAGTGGTAATTTCAAGTAAGTACTGAGGAGCACCCAGCCACTTCACCAGACTACAGAGTTTGAACTACATGTAGGTACTTGTTGGTACCGTTCCGTAAGTTTACTATGTTTCTTAGATTGTATTCCAGTGAGGCTCTTTGCTAAAATGTAGGAAGTAACAAATCAGTTTCTCTGTTTCCTTACTTGAATTTCAACAAGATTATAAATATAGCCCAAGAGCAACTAAGTATACACCTGGTGAAGTTAATTGAGCCACGTTCACCAACTATAAAATCAAATTATACTTTAAATCCATTGACTCAAAAATATGTTTGGAGATTATAGTGTGCATGCTGCCATCAAGAGAGCCATGCTCATCATATAAAATCAGTGAAAAATTAAAGAAGGGTAAAAAGTGTCTTAAGATACTGATTAGAAGATTACATGTGAATTCAGAAAGGGGGAACAAATTAGAGAGCTCCTTTGGGAACAGCTGTACATTCAACCAAATGCAGAGAGAAAGTTACCCTTCTGATGTGGAGAAGTGAAAAAAATAATAAATACTGAAGGTGATAAGTTCTGCAATCAGACTTTGAGTACTAAAATTGGTTTGTTACAGGACCAAAGGTTCACAATTCAAATAACTATAGTAGAATTTTTAAAAGTCAAGCCCTAATCAGTAACATTTCAGCAATAAGAAATAGCCTAGAAATGTAAAAATTAAAGTTAAGAGGTAGAACATTTTTAATACAAAAAAAGGTTTGTGTGAAACAATTCCCAAGCCCACTTCTTAGTGGAAAGAAGATAATTTTATATATAATGATTTCCAGCTAAAAAATATGAGGTTTGGAGATCTCTTTACCAATTATAAGAGGAAGGCTATCTTTGGACTGTTAATAAGAGATCAGGACTGACTTGGGTCAGAAGAAACCACCATTTGACTCTGAGTACAACAAAATTGGCCATGGTCTTCTCTTCACCAACTGTGTAGTAAGAAAATGCTAAGTAAAGAGTAAAAGGGCTGAATACATTGGCATATAATACCGTTGATAAAGCAAATTGGAGAGAAAAGTAAATGAATCTATTTCCAATGGTTGGTTATTTTTTTAAAACTTTTCTTTTTTATGGTAAAATATATATACCATAAAACTTACCAATTTTAACCGTACATTTCAATGGCATTATTATTCACATTGTTATGCAGCCACCACTGTCCATCTTCAGAACCTTTTCATCATCCTAAACTGAAACTCTGTAGCCGTTAAACAATAAATCCCCATTCCCCAGACTCCCAGCGCCTGGTAACTACTATTCCATTTTCTATTACTATGAATTCAATTATTCTAGGTCCCTCATATAAGTGGAATCATGTAATATTTGTCCTTTTGTATCTGGCTTATTTCACTCAGTATATGGTCTTCAGAGTGTGTCCATGTTGTAGCATGTATCACAATTTCATTCCTTTTTAAGGCTAAATAATATTCCACTGTATTTACATGCCACATTTTATTTATCCATCCATTCACTTATCAGTGGACGTTTGGAATTTTTCCATCTTTAAGCTTTTGTGAATAATGTTGCTATGAACAAGTGTGTACAGACGTTTGAGTCCTACTTTCAGTTCTGTTGGGTGTATACCCAGAAGTAGAATTGCTACATCGTATGGTAGTTCCATGTTTCATTCTTTGAAGGACTGCTGTGCTGTTTTCCACAGGAACTGCACTATTTTATATTCCCACCAGCAATGCACAAGCATTCCTTTTCTCAGCATCCTTGCCAATACTTGCTGTCTCTTGTGGGTTTTTTTGATAGTTGCCATCCTGACAGGTGTGAGAGATCTCTGTGGTTTTGATTTGCATTTCCCTGACGGTTAATGACATGGAGCATTTTTTCATATACCTGTTGGCAGGTATATGAAATTCTGTTATTACTTTGCTGCTTTCCTTCCTGCTTGTGGTGCTCCTCCTTAGCTTCCTTCTGGATTTCCCTCACTAGTCTATCTGTTGGTTAAATATTATTGTTCTCTAAAATGCCGCTCCTGGCCCATTGCTTCAGCTACTTCCCCATATATAATGATAGGTCTTCCAAATCTCTCCCAAGTCCTGAGCCTAGATATCCAATAACCGTTTGAATGTATCTAACTAGAATACTCCATCAGCCTTTCCTGATTAACTTTCTTGTCCTAGTCTCAACCCCATAGCCATTTCCTTGGTTCAGATTCTTCTTACTATTTACCAGTATTGGTACAGTTTATTCCTCAATGCAAAACAGAAATATGAACCACACTGAAACATTAATTGCATGTATGTCCTTTTCTTCCACTACAATGTGGTCACACTGGAAATAGGACTGAGTTCTCCCTGCCACCAACCATACACATACACGCTTTAAATATTTCTTATCCCAAAACCTAAGATAGTGTCCAGCTCATAGTAGAAAACCAGTACGTGTTTATTGAATTAATAATAAACAATAAAGGAACTTAAAAGTTAACCCATTAAATTGAGTTCCCCAAAGGCAATGACAGTTTCTTATTTATCATTTTCTGAGTGTCTGGTGTGAGAATAGTAGTTAATAAATGTTTTCTAAATTTGCTAACTGATTTTTCCATCAGTAGTGCTACTTACAAGGCTTCAAAGCCTTAGATGATTATTCTGGAAGATGTGTAAGATGGCTTAGAGATAAGAGTGAGCGGTGTAGGCTCTTGCTGTATAGTCAAGGTGAGAAGTAACAGGAGCTTGAATAGCAAGATGAATGGGAGTGATAGTGCAGAATGTAAACAGAACTTGGTGACAGACTGGAAATGGGGGTAGAAAGAAGGAGGAGGCAAGGATAACAGATGTCTTAGACTCCTCGTCATTGCTAGTCTTATTTTTAAAACAGAACTAAAACAGGTGAATAATAATACTTAAGATCAAAGGAGCAAATAATATAAAGTGAAAACACATAACTTTATTTTTGTATAGTTCCCCCTTGGATATTCGGTTCCCTCATTTTTTTCCTCTCCTGTACCTAGCCAACTTCCGTCCATCCTTGCAATTCAGCCCCGGCATTGGGTGTTTTTCCAAAGAGCATTTCATGATCTCACTTGAAGCAGGGTACCAACCCCCTCCATGCTCCCCATTCCTCTTGTCTTCTTCGTGGCATGCTGAATATGTCTTTACAGTTCTGCTGCTCCCATTAAACCCTGAGCTCCTTGAGAGCACAACCGGGTCCTTTACCTCTCTTTCCAGAGCCTGGCACGGGCTCCATCACATACCTGTTTTTTAATAAAAATGCTAGAGTTTAATCAAGTTAATCTAAATACGTATCCATGAAAATAGCCTTCTTTGTTATTTGTGAATAATGGAACCCTAAAAGGGTATGAAATTGTGGCTAGATTTCATTAATTTTATGTTCCTATTTCAGAAGTCAGAGAAATATCAAGTGGTCCTCTAACTGACCTGAAAAACAAGAATTCGTTTTCCTAGAGCAGGTCTGAAAAGTTCTGTCACGAAGAGACTAAGTACAAGTTGCCCCATGGCATGATAATCTTGACTGCAGAAGTAGAGAGACTGAAGACAGTTTGATTTTCTTTGGGGGTGGGGAAGACAATTGCCTGTGCATACCTTTCAGAAGATAAAATATCTTCTGAGTTCTTTTTGTTGCCTGTGAGAACGGAGAAAATTGCACTTTGAGAATTGGGCTTCAGAGTGCTATATAAAGGGGCATTTTATGAGGGGAGAGCATATAATTGCAAAACAAATTTCTGACTTATTGAGAAAGATAGTTTCCCAAAGAACTTTTTAAAAATTCCCTTTGAAAAACAAAAGGAAAAAGTATTTGAAGTATTTGTTCTTGGCTTTCAGACAACAGGGCCTTTGTTCCATTTTACCAGCTGTTTTTGGTACCCCAAGGATGTAGCTGTGAATTCTTAGGTCCTTTAATGGAAGATTAAAGTAAGGCACCTGTTCCTCTTTAATTACTTTTTTTATGTGATTGACAAGATATTTTACACAAGCTATTAATTCTCTATGATCATAAAAGAGCAATTTAGTCTTATCTTTAATTTTCTAGGAATAAAGTATAATCCAGAAAAAAGACTTGGTGACCTGAGTCTGAAGTTCAGGGTTGGGTGGAGAATGGTAGAAAATGGAGTTGCACATCACTATAGCCTCTTATGATCAGATAGGGGTGATTCACACCACTTGGTGGCATGAAGTTTTGGACTTACAAGTTTTAGATAAAATGAGTCATTCTATTGGGTCATTTTGTTAAGCTATTCTAAATAGGCAGTGTGAAAGATGAGAAGAAAACCAGTCATTAAAGTCATCGGGGATGATGGTAGGACCTGGAGAAAGATCATGCCAAGTGTAGAAGTTTCCCTAAATGTAAGAGACTGAACGAAATATTGATAGATGGCATGAGGGGCAGATGAAGGAGTTTGGTCTGGTGAATGTTGGTAAGCCAGCTCAGTTCTGACCGCATCCCAACTCTGTGTTAGGTGGGGTATATAGAAAGAGTAAGCATCTCCGCTTGAGAGAAATGCAGAGCAGATGGTTGTCTTTGTGGGGGAACCAGGTTTCAATTAAGTAAAGATATAGGGGTGCATTAAATTAAAAGGTTGTTACCACGGAATAGGGTCTAAAAAAATTACACATCAGTATTTTCCAAAGCCCTTTGCTGTACCTCCTACTATACTGCTTTTCCTTGTCCTGTACCTCCTCTTTGAGATTGATTTATTCACTGAAGAAATATCTGTTGAGCACCTATTATTTGCCAAGCCTGGTGCTGGATATCAAGGTATACCTAAGTGGTGAGTACATAAGTTCTTAAAATACGGACAGGATATGTAGTAAGTATGTTAGGTATGTATTAGAATTGTGTGGAATATTTGGAAACTGGTGATTATCTTGGGTTTTTTAGGGCAGTTTTAGAGCCTTTACAAGTAGAACTTAGCCTATTCACTGAATTAAAGAAAGAAGAAAATTGGTCCAAATAGCAATCTATTCCGTAGGTGCCAAAAATTCCCTGTCACACTTTGCCATTATCATAGAATATAAAAGCATGATGAGATCCCCACAATGGCAAGGGAGTTCTCAGCTTCCAGATTCCTCTACTTGGGGACCTAGGATAGCACATCCATATTCACCTTTTTGTTCAGTGGTTATTTATTCACTTATTTATTCACTTATTTTTACTGAGGGTGCCAGCATTGTCTTACATGCTAAGAATGTAACAGAAAACCAGACAGATGGGATCCTTGGTCTCATAGAATTTATATTCTGTAAAAATGGTCATATTGAGAACTTACTTTGTGCTAGGCACTGCGCTAGGTCCTTACATATATCACCTGTAACCTGACAACCCAGCTCAGTACAGGATAATGTCCAGTTTGATAAATGAGGAAATCGAGACTCGGTAAGGTTGGAATTAGCCTACCTTTAGCTTTCCCAGTGGAAGGCATCTGAAGCGCATGCGATACCCCATGCCGCCTCGCTGCCCTCCCACATGTGCTGAAGGCTGCTCTGTCAGGCAGAGGATTGTATTAGGTGTTAACATGGGAGTAGAAAAGACATGAAGACCAATTTTCGGGGAGCTAACAGTTTGTTGTACCATAAAGTTAACACTAAAATTAAAGTAGAAAAATGAGGAAAGGAAAAGAGTAGTTTACACTTAAGAAATCAAGATAGCTAATGAACACATGAAAAACAATTTCACTGGCAAACAAAAAAATGATAATTAAAATAATAAGATACCATTGTCACCTATCAAAGTAAAGTATGTTTTTGATGGTAATATTCAATGTATGGGTGAAGTGATCTTTCAAGTACTGCTATTAGAAGCATATTTTTTGAACATCTATTCTGGAAAACAGGTAGTATTTATCAAGAGCTTTACAATGTTTATACCCTTTAGCCAGGTAATTACATTTCTAGCGGTCTGTCCTAAAAATGTAGCTAGAAACTCAGATCACATTATTTTTAAAAATGTTCATCACACTGTTGTTTGTATTAGAGAAAGTTTGAAAATAAATTAAGGCCAACCTAGATGACGTAATATTACACTACCATTAAAAAGTGTTATTTTGTAGTTTATTTGATGATATAGAAAATGTTTTCAATAAATATTAAATTTGATAAAACAATGTAAAACTATATATAATAATTTTGTAAAAGATAGTAGGCATATGGGTACATGTATAAATTATATTAATTCAGAATACATTAATTAACTGGAAAGAATAAAAATATTGAGAGGTTATTTCTAGGTAGTTCTGTAGAGGTAGTCTATATTTGTAACCTCATATATTTGCCAAATTCTCTAAAGTGAGATTTTATTACATTTATGATTTTTTATAAAGAAAAATAACTTCTCTTCTGTTTTTACCTTTTTTGTTTGACTCCTACATCTGCAATAGTAGTTGAGGTAGAATACAGGTTGTCAAGAGATGTTTCCAACTCAATTTTCAAGAGTGTTCTTGAAGAACTGAAAACACACTTCCTAATTAAATGGTCTTATAAAAGCAAGAAGCATTATTTCTCTGCTTCATTTTATATTTTAAGGTTAATATGGAACATTATCAAATTGATAAGTTCTAAATGTATTTCAGCCATTCTGTTTGAGAACACAGATATAACAGTAGTACTTATTTCTTTACAGGCTTTATAACTGCCTACAGCATGCTTTGGAAAAAGAAAACATTACTAACTCACGTCCCAAAGAGAAAATCAAAGACAAAAATAAATCATCATATACTCGTAAGAAGAAAAGAAATCCAGAAGAAGCACACAGCAAATGTTTTACTGAAGAAAATGTTAAAGAATGTGAAAATGATGATGACCTAGGAATCAGTGTTACTATCTTCCCTGAAGATTACTAAGATTCGGTCTTGGTAGAATAATGTTTCTAATAGATAATACAAAGCTGCTCTTTACAAGAGTATTTTAGTTTCTTGAGTATATGAGCCATTCAGAAAAGCAAGATTTATTCTTTCTCTATATTTAGAGAAATCCTTAGCTTTTTAAAATAGCTCTGTATAATATTTGCTCATTAAATACCATCTGTTTTAGTCACATAGAGATTCATTGCAAAAATAAAATTGACTTTTTAATGCCTCTCTTTTTTAAGTTTCAATTTCTACTTCTGCAAAACAGAATTATAATACTCTTTCAAGAGAACCTTAACACTGGGAATGTTTGAGTAAAAATCATCACAACATTTTACTTCTTTTTTCACTTTGAAACCTCCAGCCTTTAAAGGGGGATGAGCTTGCTTCTTGTTGCCGTGAAGTCCAATAACAAGTCCTTCCCTTTCTTTTGACTTTGTGGAGAAAACAACTGATATGCTTTCTGTTCAGGACAAAATACCTGAACCCTTTCTTCCCGTTATTTCTCACAAACCAGAGCCTGCCACTGGCATGGTCTCTGCCACATGGGTGGGCCTGGTTTTTCACTAAACCTGGTCAGAAAAGATCATTTAAGACCTTGGAATCCTTATAGAATCCTCATATACTATTTTGGAAAGTTTCAAGGAATCACAAGACTTGGGTCCGAGTTCTGGCTGCTACCCAGAAACCGGGGGGGGGGGGGGGGGTCCTTGAGCAAATCATCGAGTTTCCAAGGCCTTCCAGTTCCTCTTCTACATAATATTTCTGACACCTGCTGTATTTACACGACAGGAGTACTGACAGCTTCACATCAAATAAAAATAAAGTTATTAATAGACTTTTGCATATGTGTTACTATTTATCTCTCATTTATTTTCATTATAAAATGATGCTTTCATACTGTATCTTCAGAAAGTATCAAATCATTAAAGTTATATTTAAAAAGAAATTATTAGTTAGTCCTAGAACTAATAAATGCTAGGATAAAATTATCAGAATGTCAAGAAAAAATTATATGAGATAATAAACATTGAGTTCTGATTTTGGCATTTCCTAATATTTTTATAATTTGTCTAAGCTTTTATGTAAATTATGGTTAGATTTGCATCCCACATGCTTGCCTTCTGTCATATCATTTTGCACTCGCCTTTTTAAAATAGATGGACTTTGGGCGCCTGGGTGGCTCAGTTGGTTGGGCGACTGCCTTCGGCTCAGGTCATGATCCTGGAGTCCCGGGATCGAGTCCCGCATCGGGCTCCCTGCTCAGCGGGGAGTCTGCTTCTCCCTCTCCCGCTCCCCCCTCTTGTGCTCTTTCTCTCTCTCACTCACTCTCTCTCTCAAATAAATAAATAAAATCTTTAAAAAAAATAAAAATAAAATAGATGGACTTCAAAAACATCTATTATCCTCTAAATAAATTCATCAGGGATGATGTCCAAGGAGTTTTAAAGTTCTTAAGATTTTTCTTCACTCCCTTTTTCTATCATATCTCTGAACTGCTCTCTATTAGGCCTTTATAATAAGATTCTAATATTTACTTTTCTAATTTCTTTTAGCATCCCACATTTAGGAAGTCTTCCAACACGGTCTTCTCCATTGTTTCAGAAAGAAGCTCCTTTGAGTCCTCGATCCCCTTGCCACCCGCAGCATTTGGTGCTGTTAATCACCTTGCGCCCATGGGCATCCTGGATGCTTTCTTCTAAATTGCCCGTTTATGGTGAATCCTCACATCTTTTGCTCTCAAACCTTTTAACAGTTTTCAACATTCATTGCACCTTGGAATCATCTTTAGAACTTTGGAAAAATACAGAAAGGATCTGAGACTTTCCAGGGAGGGACAGTAAGCATGTGTATTTTTTTTTTTTTAAAGCTACCCAATTGTTCTCTAATTGTAAACCAAAGGGCAGTAACGTGTAGGCATTCCCATATTTCTGTCTTTGGTTTTCTTGCATTTCTCTCTTCATCCCAGCCATCTCACCCATTTCAGAAGCTCTGACCTCTGAGACAGTAACTCCCACTCCTGCCCCAACCTGCCTGTCTGCTAAGCTCCAGCTAACTGCGGGGCTTCTCCAGTACAGCTGTTCCTTTCTAAGATCTCTTGTAACATGGTTTCCTGCTTCCTTCGCTAGAGAGAGCAGACTTTTACTGGGACGTTTTTTTGGTCTGAGCCCACTGGCATTTCTGCAGCCTGGCTTTTCCAGTTCCCCATCCAGGATATGTGAGGTCAGAAGAAACCCCAGAGAACCTACCACTGTGTTGTTCTTTAGGCCCTGAGATGCCTAGCCGGTCCACCTTCCCCTCTTCACTTTCAGTCTTCTTATGTTTACTTTATATATAATGTCCAGAGTTTTTACTGGTACTTAGTGGAAGGAATGGGAAAAAGCATATCTACTCCATCTTCCAGAATCCGAAGTCTAATGTATTTTTTAAATTATTGGTAGCATCACCTTGTGGGATATTGTTGACACCTTTGGAACCTATCCCAAAAGCCACAGTTCCCTTTATTTAGTGCTGTGCCTCATCTCCCAGCTCCTATGCTTTGTTGGTCCTGCTTTAGGCTTCTGGAGCCTCTCCACTCTAAAAGAAAGAACAAGCCTGGAAGTCTGTTTCCTGTCCACCTCCCACCCTGCTGTCACATGCACACCCACTGTCTCGCAGCCAATAAGGACAAGTGCAGAGCTTCAAAAGGCAACTCTGCTGCACAGACATGGGATAAACTTGGACATGCAATTGCCGTTTAAGCTCCCAACAGTATCAGACTGAAGCTGGGACTTCACGTGACTCCTCTCATGTTTTTCCCATTTCCTTACCCATTTCTCCTGGGAGCGCCTGCTTAATAAATCCCTTGCACTAGAATGGTGTCTTCTGCAAGAACCTAACCTAAGACAGGTATTGAGATTACTTTAGATCTATTTTTTTAAAGTGATGACATACATTTAATATAAAGAGCTGATGTTTTACTATGTTAGAAATTATATGATTGGTAGTGATTAAAACTTATGATATAAACATGAGGCAAAAACTTATGATGTTAAGTACATAGTGTTAAAACTTATTTGGGTGAGTATCTGACCAACAATTTTTGAAGATCACTTCTTTTTAAAAAAAATTATTTTATTTATTTGACAGAGAGGGAGTGAGCAGGAGAAAAGCAGAGGTGGAGGGAGAGGGAAAAAATCTTAAGCAGACTCTGCGCTCAGCGCAGAGCCTGATGCAGGGCAGGGCTGGATCTCACCACCCTGATACTGTGACCTGAGCCAAAACCAAGAGTCGGACGCTTAACCAACTGAGCCATCCAGGCACCCCAAGGATCACTTCTAGAATACATACTGTTTTAAGAACCTAGAGACAGGAACAATTGATTCTCGGTGAGGGAGTACTAGAAATCCAATTCAAGAGGATGCCAAAAGTTCACTTGACTGAAAAAAAATCCAAGAAATACTCTTGCAGACAGAAAGAATGTGTAATGTAATTGAGGCACCAAAGAGCATGGTATATTCAGTGATGGTGAATATTCCAGAAAAGCTGAAATGCAATATATGGTATGAAACGAGTCAAGTTGGTTGAAGCCCAATTGTGAAGGGCCTCGCAGTCCACCATGGACACAGACCAGTGTTGCCTAGACATGATTATGCATCAGAAATTCCCAAGCTAGCAGTGTTTTGGAGGGCTGCTTTTTAGAACACTTGCTCCCAGACTTTACTTGAGACCTTTCCAGCCAGAATCTTCAGTCTGGAGTCTAGGACTCTACTTTTTTAAACTCATCCAAGTGATCATGATAAAATCGGTGCAATGCTTTTAGAATCCACTGGTAACAGTCTTAATCCTGAAGGCACTGGAGAAAAATTAAACATTTTTTTAGTGAAAAAAAGTAACATGATCAGATGTTGCAATATACCTATGTCACAGATTTTGTATATATACATTATGGGAAGGTAAGGAGGAGGTTCTAATATATTAATTAAGTCACTGTCTTTGTCCTTAGATCTAAAGCCAGGAGGAATGACAATAAGTACAGCTGTGCCCTTTGAACTCTGTTCAACTCCAGGAGGGGACCTTCCCCACAGATGGCAGTATGAATGGCACCCCTTAAAAAGTGTGCAGTAGGGCGTCTGGGTGGCTCAGTTGGTTAAGCGACTGCCTTCGGCTCAGGTCATGATCCTGGAGTCCTGGGATCGAGTCCCGCATCGGGCTCCCTGCTCAGCAGGGAGTCTGCTTCTCCCTCTGACCCTCCTCCCTCTCATGCTCTCTGTCTCTCATTCTCTCTGTCTCAAATAAAAAAATAAATAAAATCTTAAAAAAAAAAAAAGTGTGCAGTGCACATTATCTACTAACATATACAGCAGTCCTGCCAAAAGGGAATTTGGGCAGGAAAGAAGTCTTATGGTCTCAGAATGCCTGGAATATTTTTTCTAATTTAATGAATAAAATGTGGAAGTACCTGCCAGCAGGTAGATGAAAAGAGAAGAGAATCAATTAAAAAACAAGCCCTAAAATAAGAACTGTAGGAAAAGGTGGGTGGGGCAGAGGAGGGGGAGAAACGGGGAGAGGTATCCTGTGGTGGAATGATTCTGCATCCTTTGTTTAAAAATATCTCTAAAGAACTCATAATCCATTGGTTTTCATAATCCTTCACTCATTTAAACTGAGCCCATTGGGACATATGTATCCCCAAATTTTATAAACTTGAGTATATGCATAGAATCAGAAAGAGAGGGGATGCCTCCTAAGCCCTTTATCGAAGGTAACAGAACTATCCTGGACCTCTTAGATTAGTAGAGGAGAGAGTCCAGGTGCTGGCCATAAGCCCGAAAGGACATTGAATCCCACTCACTCCTTAGCGTGGTATATTATTTTATATTCAATTCACATGCCCGATCAAGAATATCAGTAACTACAGGGGCGCCTGGGTGGCTCAGTCGTTCAGCGTCTGCCTTCAGCTCGGGTCATGATCCCAGGGTCCTGGGATCGAGCCCCCCATCGGGCTCCCTGCTCAGTGGGAAGCCTGCTTCTCCCTCTCCCACTCCCCCTGCTTGTGTTCCTTCTCTCGCTGTGTCTCTCTCTGTCAAATAAATAAATAAAACTTGAAAAAAAAAAAGAATATCAGTAACTACAGCAGGGCAATTCGTAATAATTTAATATGCAACCTATTTGAGAATTACCTTGTGGTTTGTCTTTGTTGTTGTTGACCCAACCAAAAAGAAGGGAATTCTTTCTCTTCCCCCAGGA